ATGAGAATTTTTTTTCCAACTGGAACTTGTAAATACAACTTTTTTTTGCATTCGATAACAAATGAGAAAACCTATTGAAAATACATCATGTAATATTCACCCTGAGGCGATGTTTGCATGGAAAATGAATATTTATTCTGGACTATTATCTGTATCTCACTCTGTTAAAGGTGATTATCATCATCTCATGACCATGATGATAATGATTATCAAATAAACCTCCTGACAACAATAGACACTTAGCCTGAAAGGTTCAACAGGAATTCCTTATTAACACTTATTATTATCAAGCTTAATGTTTGTGTTACCATGAAAAACTATCATGATTCATATTCACATTCATAATATTTTGTATTATCACAATGATTTCAAGGATTTCATGATAACTAACAGAATAATTAAATTTACCATAATAATCTTGATTCTTAGTTTATCTTGTTATCGTCATTTACTTTTCACTCAAGGATTTAGATAATTTCTGAGCCTCTGAAGATGCTCAGAACTTTCCCTTTTCCCTTACATTGAATGATTTTGATGCTGAACTGAAAATCATGATGTTGCCAATTTTTTAGCCAGATAATAATGGTATCTCTTCATGAGAGTATCACGGTGACATTGAAATCCGAGAAGTACAAAAAAAAGTTCTGGGTCCCTGATAATTAGACAGCCATGATTACCATTGAGTTGCAAGTTCAAGTGTTGAGTTAACTTTTCAACAGCTTAATGATACAGCTAATTGATTAGTGTATAAGTGAGTTAATTGATTTTTTTTGGTTAATTGTTTCTAAATGTTCAGTTTCTGCCATTTTCATGATGCGATTTCTGGTTTCATGTTTGTTTACTTTTCCAATTCAGCAAAAAAAAAACAATTTCTTTAGTTTTGTCAAGTGACAACTGTCATTGAAGATATTATATTAATGCTAACTGATTTTTTTTTCACTGGTTGTATTTTTTTTCCTCCGCCGACTTGATATGGATCAAGTCGGTGGTAAGATTTGGTGATGATTAACATGGGAAATGAAAATGTAGTTGGAAATGAGTGGAAATGAAACATTGAAATCGGTGCCAAGAAGATGAAAGGTAAATTCATGATGAGACATGATGATTATCATTTGAACATATATCATGATGAAGATAATGTGATGATGATGTATGGGAGTTGAAGATGAGGATGAGGATGAAAAGGAAATGAATTGGAATATAAATGAAAGAGTTATCAACAATTTCTACATCAACTCTTTCTCTGTATCACTTTCTTTTTCGATGATTCTCATGAAATTCGATCAATATTTGTTCATAGATAGAGTTTCATCTTCTCATGATAATCTGTTGAACTTGATGGTACATATGATGATTTTATCTTCCATCAATTGATTAGCAATTGATTAGTTTTATCATCATCATCGAAAATTTTTCAGAAATAAAACTAACTGAAAGTTGAACATTTCATGCTCAGAATAAACCTGAATACCTTTGAGGCTTATTCTGATTATCATGAACTGAATTCACTGTTTCTCATCATTAATATAATTCTGATTATCATGATAATCAGTCTCTTGTAGTTTATAATTGGAGAAAGAGAAAGAAAAAAAAATTCGAAAAAAACAAACACATGAAAAATGAGTTTACTTTTTTGTTCCTTCTCATTCAGAATCAGAATTTCTCTCTCTCTCTCTTTCTCTTTCTCTATTTAGATTGTTCCACTGGGTGGAATCAGAGTGGAACAAAACTACAGAAATAAAAAATTCGAAAGATAGAACATGAAGGAAAAAAAATTCGACAAAAAAGAAGGTGAGCTTCCAACGTGAGGAAAATTTCGCTCTGAGATAATCTCACAAGTTCGTTAGTACATCAGCTCGATAGTTCTGAACTTTTCTGTCCTTCGACCTAATATCTTATTCGACACCTAAACTCTAGAGAAATGATCTTCGAGTTTATTGTGAGCTTATTAATTGTTAAAACTTTTTCTTTTATTCTGACAATTAATCTATGCGAGTATTAGATTGATTAATTAATTATTTAGATGTTTGATTGTTGTTAATCCTTGACACTCAATTGGTGATCATGGTGATAGTTTCACTTGAATGAGACTTGAATGAACAATTTGTTATTAATCTAATAATTAGAGTTAACAATTAACTCACAATCTATCAACACATTGATCATCTTGATTACAACTTTTACATATTAATGATTATCCAACTTACTAATTAACTGAAACTATTAATAGTAACAATTAACAATCATGTTCTGTATTATCTTCAATTGGTTGTTCAATTGTAATTTGATTGTTACTGTTAAAACACACTGGTTGTAGATCTCATTAAGATTTATGTAATTAACCTAATTATCATTCAATTGATGTTTACCTGATCCACTACTTGTGATTATTAATTGTGAACAAATAAAAACCAATTTTAAATTGTGATTAATTTGGTTGAGGATTTTGTGGTTTCATTGATTAAAGGATTAATTTTGTATTGATATGATTACTTAAATTTTCAAATTAAATCAATAGTTACAATATATTTGAACGGTAATCAAGTTGATACAATTTTACCAATGATTAGCAATCGATAATGAACTTTGTTGATTCAACAATTAAGACAAAATCGGTTTGATTAAAAACAAACAACCAATAGTTGATTTGATTTTGTGTTTTTCACTTGATTGTTAGCTGATAAAACCGATTACTTAATTATTTGGTAACCTGGAAAAAAAACTAATTAGATTTGGTTGATTGTTACAATCATTAATTTATTACCAACATGGAGATAATTGAACAATTATCATTACTAATCAATGGATGCTCTAAGTTAGATTAGTAGAGAGGAAGAAGAGAAAAAAGTTTCTCTTTGATCTCTCATTTATTTCCATGGGTTTTTGATTGTGTTTCAATCAATTAATTGTATTTTCACTTGTAAATTGCAATAGTTTGAAAAGTGATTACAATCAGTCATCAATTTGCAAATTCAAGTGTCAAAAGTGATGATGATGAAGGTTAATATCGTTTTCATCAATTCTGTTTCCGGTTTCAGTCTTTTTACCAAACTGATGATACCCTGGAGACACATTGACTTCCTCTTCAGGGTTGACATTATGTCTGTTTACATTTAACTAATAAAATCAATATTGCAATGACAATACTAATGAACCAGATGATGATGATGATGATGATGATAACTGTTAATATTGTAAACAGTTAATCACAATCTCTCAATCAGATTAAAAAATATAAAAAAGTCAAAGCTTATTATCAGCTAATCATTTTAAAATCAAATGGTATTATTATTGAGCTGAAAGTTTTATTTGTTTGCAAATTTCAAACTTTTAACAAAAATAACATTAAATTCAGATTATCATGGTAATCATGATAATCTAGCAATGAGGGATCAAATTTATGGACAATTTGATTGTAACCATTAAAAAACTCTGATTGTTTATTATTAGTATTTTGTTTTTTTATTTGCCTGATTGAGTTAATAATTTCAACCATTGGTAAAACCATTAAGCTAAATTGTTTATCCTTTGCAAATACACAGGATACGAAAGCAATTGCAATTTTTACCTTTTGTTTTGCTGCTTTATTGGGTAATAATATTTTTCTCTGTGCAATAAATAAAAGGTAGAATTGGATTTGCAAATTAAATTTAACAATTGGAAACATCATTTATGTATCTGGCCAATCGATTTGGTCTTGTATTTTGTTGTACCGTTTGAAATGGTGAAATTATTCAACCTCAATGTTGTTTGGGTAAAGAAAAATAATGAATCTACTTGATCTCGATTTTATTTTATTTTTTTCTGTGTGTCTAATCCTCTTGATTTTGCATTATCCTGGGTGAAAATGCAATCAGGGTGAAATTCAAGGGAAATTTTTTGGTGATGGTGGAGAGTGGAAAATGTAAGAATAAGGTTAAGGTCGCAGATGGGTGATGATGAGGGAGGGAAAGTAAAGGCTGCGGGAAAAAAGGTCAACATCAAGTTCAGTGGAATGATGATGAGAATCGTAGGGAGTGGGTGGAAATTCAGGAGAGAGAAAGAGAGAGAGAGAGAGAATAAGACCCGGGCAAAGTGGGTGGGTATTAACTGTAAACTGATGATGATGAGGAAGAGTGAAAAAAATCGAGGCCTGGGAGGGGGCGAGAAGTGATGAAGATGCTCGAATGTAGGTCATACGAGTTCGCTCAGTCTCTATTACTGTTTACTGAACAAATAGATTCATCGGAATGATGAAAATGAGCAGAATGAGAAACAGACAATTGAAGATAAAAGATGATGAAAAGAGAGAGAGAGAGAGATGATAAATCTTCCTCATAATCTGATAAAATTCATGTTTCAATGGAAAAGATGTAAAAAAAATAGTTGCAAATATCAACCTAATGATGATGATGATTAGCAATTAATGCAACCAATTTGTGCTGAAAAAAAAATCATCATGCAATCTTAATTATCTATTGCAACAATTAACTTTTCTATTGGAAATTGTGATGGGATTAAATTAACTTGCACAGATTTGATATAAAATCCAATTGATTGTATCAGTTTGATTTCACTTATATTTATCCTGATCAATGATCATCAACTTAATTAACTGTCAATAGTGATAATGATTGTTCAATTGATTTCCAACAATAAATGATTGCACCAAAAAAAATATATCAAATCAAATCAAATATAAATTATATTTACAGTCAATCAAGATCACTATCAAATTGCGATAAAATTAACACAATTAACCTGAAAAGATGATAACAATTGACTGTGATTTAATAGTAATCATAAAAAAAGAGAGACTTATATCAGTTAATGAACATTATATGCTGACAATTAGCAATAAACATACACATAATTAAGACACATCCATTAATAAAAAGTAATGTGATGTTAATACAGTTTCTAGTTTTATGATTGTTGATTGTTGATTGCAGTTAATTGTTTGGAAGGTCAATAAAATATGATCAATGATGAAATGTTAATTGTGAATACAAACTACTTACTCTCGGTGCCATTCATAAATTGCTTCAATATTGCCAAAGATAATTTTATCCTTGCCATTTTTTAAATCATCAGGAACCGTTGGCTCATCTCTTTTAATTGCTTCAATATAACCTTCAACAATTAAGCCCAAATCTTTAACGTAATCACGTTCAGTTTCAACCAGCTCCCGTAAAGCGTAATTGCGTTTAATTAAAGCCTTTTCCCGTTCACTATTAACTTCATCATCAACTAATTGTGTTGGTGAAACAATTGAATCACTGGTTTCATTATTATTACTATTGTTGTTATTATCAATTGTTGCTGATGATTCAATTGTTGTTGTTGTTGCTGCTGTTGATTGGGGTAGTGGTGGTGTTAATGGGGTTGTAGGTTGATCAGTTTGCTTTGATTGTTGATTAATTGTTAAAGGAAGTGGTGAATTTGATGAAGATGCTGCTGAGGTTTGGGAAGGTGATTTATCCTCATCAATATTTTCAAAATCACCGATCACTTGTTGTGTTGAGTTAATTGTTAATTTTTCAATTGAATTTGAAATTGAATCACTAATTATCTCAGGTAATTTCACTATTAATCCAAGTGGATTTACACTTTCACTAATCACTTGAAAACTTTTCCCCTCTGAAGATAAACTTGGCAATTTATCATCATCTTCAGAGATTATCTCTCCAACTGTACCTCTTAAAAGTCCGATGGTTGGACCTGGAGTGACCGGAAATTTACCTTTGGTATCAATTAATATCTCGGGACTTGGAAGGTCAAGAGATTTTGATTTATGGGCGGAAGTGAGGAAACTGTTTGACCGATCAGCTGATGTTTCTGGTAAGGGTGTGGTTAGATTGAGTAATCTTCTCGTTGTTCCCAAAGATGAAGATGAAGATGAACCAGGTGATTTAATTAAACTTGACTCATCCTTTGATCCTGATGAGGATGAAGTTGATGAGTTTCCTTTAACATCGTCTTTCTGTTTATATTCAAGGTGAGAGAGAGAGAGAGAAAAGAAATTCGGTTCATGAAAATATTACATGAGGATTAATATGATTATCGTGATTGTTTAATGTTTATATTACAAAGATGACGATGATGATTAGGATGGAAAAAGATAAATAAAGTAAATTGATGATGATAAGAAAGAGAAATCAATTTTATCGATTAATTATATCAACTTAATATTCATTCATTCATCTCAATCTGATTATCATCAAGTAAATTAGCATAAGAATCAATGGAAATGAATTAAGATGAATTCAGTTTTTCTTTATCAATGAATCATTTTGATATTTTTCATGATCAACATGATGATTGTTTTTGGTCATCTTGAGTGGCTTATGGTGGGTCAACATGTAGTAAAGATTAAGAAACTGAAATGTGTCACTTTAAGATTAAAATTACTCACTGATAAGTTTAACATGACATTTCAGATAAAGAAATTAAATTAAACAATTTACGATTTAGTTAAACTTATTGGATTAAGTTGATCACTCTTTTAGTTTTTATATTAACATTTTGTTTCCTACTTCAAAATAGATTAAGTTTTCATAAGTATTAGTAATTCATTATTTATGATCATTAATAAACAATTAAGCTTTTTGTTGATAATCTAATTTGGTTTATCGTTTAAAAAGGTAAATGGTTAAGAAACAAAAGAGGCAACAATTAATTGTGTTGATTGATTAGTTGATTATAATACATTAAATTTATGAGATAACATTGTCAATGTTAATGTTGCAAATCACTTAATTGATTGTTAATATTATTGATACATTGATGTATTGGATTTAATTTGATTGTTGGTTAAAATCATTCACCGATTTATGATCAACTTTGATGACTTTTGATCTAATTTTGGGAGTAATTTAAGATTAGAGATAATTATTTTTCTCTAATTATGATTAAAGGATTATTTTGATTCTGTGATTCGTAAGCAAATTAATGATGATTACGATTATTAATTCAGTTCTGAAAAGTAATTCATGAGAAAAAGTTACAAACTAATTGACAAATTCAATAGATTTTAATGATTCTCTCGAGAAATTAAGTTTTTTTTTCACTTTCATTTTATTTTTTGACTTATAAACAAAGAAGATGATTATGGTTACGTTGAAGATTAAGATGATGACGAGGATGAGGATGGAGATTGAGACTAAGGTGGATGAAGAGATGATGTTTGGCTCAAGTTCTGACGAACAGATTTTTCTTGGTCCTCTTTAAATTCTGACATTTGGTTTCCAAAGGAATCCTTTTGGGAACCATAATTCCTGATGATATTTTTTTCCATCTTATCGCCATTAATAGGTCATCCTTATCATCCTAATCATTATCATCATTATCACGATAAACATCATGATAATATTTGTTTTCTGTTTCTCTTTTTTTTTCATCTTCTTTACTAATCATTTTCTATCATCATTAACAAGTTGATAGTATCATTAGTCCTTTTACTTATTGTTCAGGTCTCTCGTCATCATTATCATTATCATCATGAGCTTAGCATCCTCATCACCATGTGAGTATCATAATCATCGTCTTATTCATTATCAAACAAACTTTGACACTTTGGAGATAAAAAATTCTGGGTTAAAAAAGTGATCACTTATTTTTAGATTTTTTTTTCATCTTCCTTTTTTTATCATCCTTATCTTCATCCATCATGTCAAAGGGATTATCTTACTCTCTCTCTCTGCTATTTTTTATCTGCATCTATTTCAAAGTCTCTGTTAATCATAATCAGGTCATAAAAACAAAACAACAAAAGTTAAATCATTTTCCTCATTCAATGAGTTGATCATCTAATCAACTAATTCTGAAGATAATCTGATCATAACCTTTTTAATTGCTTGTTAATTTTATCTCAACCTTAACAATGACAATCATTTCATGAGAATAATAATAATAACTCAAAGTCATGGTTCTGAATAAAAGACAGAGATTGAAATTGAAAGAATTTGAATTGGAATCTGAGTTGTTGAATCTAAAAAGAAAATGATAAAATTTGAATGAAAATTTTTGATCGAAAAATGAAATATAAGAAATAAAAAAGTTCTCATCTAAATTGATATGAATATTGTTTCTCTTCTTCTTTCTCTACCTCTTTCTTCATCATCTTCTTTATCTTCATCTCCATGTAACTGTCAATTTCAAGGTTATTAAGTTGAATTGAAGAGAAAAGGAAAATAATAACATTTTGTTAACTTCCAATGAAGGAAAAGAATAAGAGAAAAGAACGAAAAAGAAAACAAAATAATTCCAATTTTCAATAACATCAATTTCCTCCTCTTATCATCATCATCATCATCATCTTCTTATTCTTCGCCGTCGTTTTCGTCATCATCATGATAATCATTTTAATTCTCTCCAAAAGAATATGAAAAAAAAGATAATAGAGAAAAAATCATGTTCGAAAATACTATTACAATGAATAGAACTTAAATTCGAGGTAACAAGTGGTTGTACTTTAAAACAATCGAACTTTGTCTTTGATCATCTTTACAATTCCATGACAATTAATCAACAATTCAATTTGCAATCAATTGATTGTCAAGAGTTACTTCCAGTTTGTGAGCGGGAGAAAGAAAATTAAATCGATTCAGTTTAATTTCAATCGATAAATTTAATCAACTGATAACATGTTCATTCATCATTTATGTTTGGCTTGATTAACTAGAGACAATTAGACAATTACTAATTGATTTAGGAAATTATTTATTTAAAGTTTATTTATTACTCTAAATCTAAAATAGTAGCAATCAATTGATTGATTGTGATAATTAAAGACTTGAATCATTATCAAATTATTTTAGTTTACTTGATTGTATTGGATTAATATTAGCAGATGAGTAACAATTTAGATTACTAAACATTGGTATTATTATTAATTCATTTGGTTTGATTGTATCAAATTAACTAAATTGTCTTCTCATTCAAATTGTTGATGAAATTGTTTTTGACATAATCTTGATTGTTGTCATATGGAAAATTAACTTTTCAAGATGTTAATCAAAGCTAAATTGTTGACCCGTTAATCTTAATTGTTTATCGTGAAAACTGTTTCTCACCTTCAACAATTAACCTTGTCAAATATATGGATATTGTAAATCAACAGTTAATCATAATTATAATTATAATCATCATAATCTTAATCATCTTCAATCAAATTGCTATTATATTAACAACGTTAATACCTTCAACTTTCACTTGGCTTGTTAATTGTTGATATAATTAAACGTAAATTATATTACTTACAAACTAATTACTATTACCTTGCTAATTTATGATATATCAAAGTTAATTAATCAAGTTGAATGTCACCTTAATCAAGGTTAATTTAACTGATTTTAATTTGTTTACTTACCAATTGAGTTAAAAAAATTTTTGTTTTTTTTTGGTCAATTGATTAACTTGATTAAATTGAATCGATTTAATTGTTTAATTGACTTACCTGTTTTTTGAATATTTGATTATAAATTTTCTTCATTGGTCATGTAACAATTAGAATTAGATTGGTTAACAATCAAAAGGAATAACGTTGATCACTTTTTCCTCAACACAAACAATTAAAAGTAGAAATCAATTTCTCTTTGGATTTAACAATTTAAGACAACAAGAGGGGAAAAAAGCCAATTAACTGATTATAATTTCGAGTTGAATTAAATTTTTAATTACTAAGACTTGTAGATTTGCACAATTAATGATTATAATTTTACTCTTCTTTTTTGTTGTATTACTTTTAATCCAATTGTTTGTAATTAAAGATTCACATTATCAAATAGATTTTGTTATTATCACAAATTGTAAGTGGTTGTTGATTAACGAATCAATTGTTAACCATTATTGTATATTAATCATCATTGATTAACTGTATTCAAGTAGATTTGTTGATTGTTAACAGTGTTGTTTCTTTTTACTTCTTCTCCTTCTGTTAATTGTCAAAGAAATTCAATTGTGAAAAGTTAATTGTGACGAAAAAAAAACTGAGAGAATATTTTTTTACTCCAAAATAGAAATGAAAAATTTTCACTTGAAAGATTTTGTTGTTTCCTCTCGTAAAGAGATGATGATACAAATAGAGAAGAAGAAGAAGAAGAAGAGAGTCAATGATGATAATGTTGATGATGTAAAAAGATGAACATGCTCATGAAATTCATGGAACGATAAAACAGAGTCTGAGCTGAAATGAGAAAAATAAAAAACTTTCAACTAACGATAACAATTAGTTAGTCGATCGACCGGCGGCTGGAAGAATCAGCGCCATCTCTTGTTGGAAATTCTCACTTGGCGCATGCGCAAAAGAGATTCGGTTAATCTGTTTAATTTTGTTTCTCTTTCAGCTGATTAATGATTAAACCTTTTGTTTTTTTTTAATCTTAATCATTAATGTTTTGACCCTCTAATCAACTGGTCCAAGTTTTCTTACCTTCTAATTGTTTGCCTGTGTTGGTCTCTTCTATTTCTTATACATTCATCTTAATTTACCTCTGTTTCCAATCCCTTCAAGTTAATCATCTTCTTTGGGTCTTCATCTCATTTGAGTTTATTTTTTTTTTGTTCTTTCATCCTCTTAGTTTGTGTGTTTATCCATCATGAACAATTCAGTTGGTTCCACTACCTGTTTCGGTGTTACAGCTCCTCTTAGTACTGCACCACCAACTGATCTGGACCTTCAGTTGACTACTAAATTGATTGAATGTCTTGAAATGTTTGACACATTTGAATCAGATGATTCAATGCAACACCGGATGGTTGTTCTTAGCCAGATGAATGATCTTGTACAAAAATGGATACGAGAAATAAGTGAACAGAAATTAGCTGGTAATGAGGCAGCCCAACGAATGTCTGGTAAAATTTTTACCTTTGGTTCATTTCGACTTGGTGTCAATACCAAGGGTGCTGATATAGATACTCTCTTGGTTGCCCCACGTCACATTGATCGAGCTGATTTTTTTAAATCTTTTGCCACTGAACTTGAAACTCTTCCAAAAGTTGAATACATTAGGAAAATAGAAGATGCTTTTGTGCCCGTTATCAAAACCAAGATTGAAGGAATTGAATTTGATATTCTTTTTGCTCGTTTAGCTTTAAAAAATATACCCGATGATCAAGATTTGAAGAATAATGAACTTCTTCGAAATTTGAAACAAGAATGTGTTCGATCTCTCAACGGTTGCCGCGTAACCGATGACATCCTTTCCCTGGTTCCAAATCATGAAGCCTTCAGACTCAGTTTACGAGCTATCAAATTATGGGCTAAACGACGTGGTGTCTATTCCAATGCTCTTGGATATTTAGGTAATTATAATTAATGAACTAAATCGGTTTCTCATTCTCTCTCTCTCTCTCTCTACATTTGACTGTTTATTAACTTTTCTTTTCATTTGATTACTCAGGTGGTGTTTCTTGGGCTATGCTTGTCGCTCGTACCTGTCAACTATATCCGCTTGCATGTGCTGCAACCGTTGTACAGAAATTTTTCTTAATCTTCAGTAAATGGCCTTGGCCTAAACCTGTTCTACTTCGAGCTTTGGAAGAAGACAGAGCAAATTTAGGATTCCCGGTCTGGGATCCGCGAGTTAACGTTACCGATAGGTATCACCTGATGCCCATTATTACCCCTTCATATCCACAGCAAAATTCAACTTTTAACGTCACCCAATCAACTAAAACAATCATGATTGAAGAGTTTATCCACGCTCATGCAATTTGTAATAAAATTGTCAAGGGACACGCTGAATGGAAAGATCTTTTCCAAGAGAATAATTTCTTCAGCAAATATCGACATTTTCTCATCATTATAGTGGAATCAAAGCCCGAATGGCTCGGACTTATTGAATCTAAAATTCGTGTTCTAGGTAAATATATTTATCCAAAATATCCTTTGATCCTCTTAATGATGATACAATATTTTATGTAAAATCGATAATCTAAATTGTCATATTTCTAATCGTTACATTTTTCTCGTACATTCTTACAGTATCATACCTGGAACGTCATAGATGTATTAAATTAGCCCATGTTAATCCAAATTCATACCAACAAGAAACACAAGATACACTAGATACTAAATTGACGCAGGAATCGCAAGAAACACAAGAAACAAGCGAAACATTAGAAACACCAACAGACGAAAACAATGAACCAGATACCTATTGGTTCATTGGATTACATTGTGACAAATCTGAAGGAAGCAACATCGATCTGACAGCCGATTTACGACAATTCCTTAACACCGTACGACAATCGGCTGCAAATAAAATGACTACCGAATATAAAATTGAATTTAAATATGTAAGAAAACGGGATCTTGTCAATTACCTTCCCGCTCATGTATTAAAATCCGAAACTAATGCAACAACAACAACAACAACACCAGTTAAACGTAAACTGGAAGATGAAGATGACGATAGCAAACGCGCTAAACAAAAGACTGAACCAAATGCAGAAATCACCACAGGATCCACACCACCTCAAGTAACTGCATAAATCAATCGACACCTCGAATCAACTAAAATCACAAAAACAACAAGAAAAACACCCAAAAATATGTATTTCTTTTTCCTCTCTATCCTCTTTTTTTTGATAATCCTTAATTGTAATTTTGTAATTTCTCTTACTTTTGTTTTTTTTTCGATTTCACATTATTGTCTTGTAAAACCTATTTATCCACTTTAATCCACTCAATCTTGTAATAATCGAAAAAGAAAAAAAAATAAAAAACTTTTCACCCCAATTGACCTTTCTCTTGATTAGTATCAACGGATTATCATTGAGAGAAAAAATAATCTAATTAGTTTAAAAATGAATTAAACTGATTAAAGAATTGGATTAACCGAATTAGATATTTTCTGGTTAACCAAAAAACGGATTAAAAGGATTAACTCTCTAAATGGATTAGAAGAAAAAACTTATGGATAAATTTGAATCATCGACAATTTAAATTAACAATTAAAAGAGAAAAATTTTCCCTCTAATTTTATTTTAATTCTCAGGTGGAGTGAGTGTTGATTGTCCTTTGATTAGTCGATGAAAAAGAGATTACAGTTAATCACAATTAAGTAAATTCAATTTGGATTAATCAATGTGACAATTTTTTTGTTCATTTCTAAAAGACAACTTATTCAATTGGTAAGTCAATTTTTTGCTCAATTGTTAAATTGAATTATTATGGATCTTAATTGTTGATTGTTTCTCTTTTTAATTGTGATTTTGTTTTGAAGATTCCAATGATCCAAACAGGTAGAACACCAATGAAAAAACCGCCGCCGGCAATTAAACCAAAGCCGAAATTAATTCCAATCGGTAACAGCAATGGCACCAAAGATCCCGTCGAGGTTTATTGTAGATTGAGGCCAATTAAAAACGCTGCTGATTGTGTTTGTATCAAAAGGCTAAACAACAACACACTACAATTAATGTCGTTCGGTAATAATAAGATCGAATCCTTTTACACCTTCAAGTATGTTTTTCCCGAGACGACGAACCAGAAGGAACTATTTGATCGAGTTGGACTGCCGCTCATCGAGAATCTGGTCAATGGTAAAAATAGTAAGTGTCAGACTTTGGGCGTTTTCTCTTGATTCTTTTTGTTGATTGGTGTTTTTCTTTATATTGTTTCTTTGATTCGATTGAAATTCAGGCCTTTTATTCACCTATGGAATCACTTCTTCGGGCAAGACATTTACAGTTACTGGTAGTTCGCAAGAATGTGGAATTTTACCTCGAACTTTGGACGTTCTATTCAATTCGATTGAGGGTAACATGGCGCGGAAGTTTATATTCAAAGCTGATGAGCAAAATGGCTTCAAGATTCAATCGACACCCGATGCGCTCTTAGAGTGGCAACGAGAGAAACAAGTCTCTCGAACTCCTTCGTCTTTGGCCGCTACACCTAAAGTTAGAAAGCGAGAAGTTGATGACCTTAAAGAATGGGAGAATCGAGAACGCGATGAGACTCTGGTTGACATTGAGGTTAAGGGGAACGCTTTTGCCGTTTTCATTTCTTATGTTGAAATTTACAACAATTACATTTACGATCTTCTCGACGATGAAGCGATGGTCGATCCGTTCAAGACTCAACAGCCTCGATCAAAGGTTTTACGCGAAGACAAAAAACGTCGGGTTTTTGTCCACAATGCAACCGAAATCGAGGTGAGCTCATCTGATGAAGCCTTCGACCTGTTTGTCAAGGGTATTAGGCGACGACGAATGGCCCATACAGCACTAAACACCGAATCGAGCCGATCTCATTCCGTTTTCAATATTCGAGTGGTTCAAGCTCCAACCGACGCTGAAGGTGAAGTCATTTTAGACGATAAATTTATGACCGTTAGTCAATTGTCTCTAGTTGATCTCGCCGGTAGTGAGCGCTCTCAACGCACTCAAACCACAGGGGAAAGACTACGAGAAGCGGGTAACATCAATAACTCCCTAATGGCCCTAAGAACGTGCATTGACCTGCTGCGAGAGAATCAAAAATACGGAACCAATAAGATTGTCCCTTATCGAGACAATAAACTGACCCATCTATTCAAAAGCTACTTCGAGGGCGAAGGTAAAATCAAGATGATCATTTGCGTTAATCCAGGAGCAGAAGATTTCGATGAAACTTTGGTACGTGTTACAAACAATAACCTTCTCAGGTCGAAAGTGTTTTCCCTTAAACCTTTTCCTTTTTCTCTTAAAGTTAATTGTTTGATATTCTTTCATATCCGTTCCGTCCCCTTTTCCCGCCGCTTCTCGTAGCATGTGATGAAATTCGCGGAGACAACACAAGAAGTGCTTATCAATCGCGCAACTGACCTACCCTTCCACTTGAGGGTATCACATCCTTACATGTCTAGATTCATCTCGTTCCCGCGTTTAGACAACAATGAAATGGTCGGACCCTCGTTACCGGTGTTTGATGTAAGTCCAAAGAGAAAATAACAAAAGTCGAGGTCATAAATGTGACCCGATCTTTGTCGTCTTTCGGAAATTGTCTCCTAAATGTTTCTTTTCTTTTTACCAAACAGAAAATCGACTGGAAAGATTCATCAGCTCTAAATAATCTGATCACTGTTTTGGAACAACGGAAACAGAATGAGCTTCGTCACCATGAGCGTTTACGCCAAGAATGTGAGTTCGATTTGTACGGTAGAAAAAAAAAGAAGTTCTAATCAACTTTTTTCTCTTTTGATAGATTTACTTTTTCGCGAAAAATTAGCCACCAATGAGAGCGAAAGTATGTTGAATAAACAGCAACTCAACGTTCTCAGGAATGACCTGGAAGTCCGAGAGAATCAGCTCAAAGAATTGGAAACAAAGTGTAGTTCCTATGAGAATATAAGAGATGAATGTGATCGAAAAATTCAATATTTGGAAAAGAATTTGAAAGAGAAAGAATTGAAACTGGAGAATAAAATTCGCGCTCTCAACTATGCGAACGTCGAACAAGAAAGAAACAAAATCCAACTGGAAGAAAGACTAGAAAAGGAGAAAGAAAGACTTAAACGAGTGTTCAATCGAGTTTTGGAAGAGAAAAAGTCGCAACTCGAACGTCAATTGTGTCTCACCAATGAGAAGATGCTTTTGGTGAGAGACATTCTAACGGCAAATAATTCGGATTGGGGATTTTTCCGAGATTATCTTGAGAATCTTTATCCATCCGCTAATCATCATGTTCTTACCTAATCATCATCATTCTCATCATATTCTTTTGTAAATAATCTCGAAGGAAGGAAGAAGAGAAAAGAAAAATCAAAGAGAAAAAGAGAAAAACCCCAAAAGAAAAAAAAGAAAAACAGACAAAGAAGAAAAAAAGAAAAAAGAAAGAAAAAGGTGAAAGAGAAAATCGAACAACAATATTTGGCTTCAGTTCTCTTTCTTTCTCTCTGTCTGTCTCTTGTCTGCTCTCTTTTTCTCTTCTTTCCTTTTCATTTCCCTCTCTTCTTTTATCTTCATCTTCCTTTATTTCTCTCTCTCTCTCTTCTCACTTTGACCTATGGATGATGAGAGTTACCAAGATGTTAAATTGTGTTGAGCGGTTTATTGATTAGCGGTTCGATCATCAGTTCACTTATGGTCGCCAATCAATTTCAATTTTTATTCTTTTCTCCTTTCATCTTGTATTCATTTCTGTTGTTCAAATTAAACCGAATTTCTTTAATTGATTAAGTTAATCATTCCCTGTTATTCGATTCATTCCCTGGTTACCCTGATTTGATTTTCTGTGTTTCCACCATCTTCACAATTAACATTATCGAGAGATTCATTTCGCTCAGTGAATTTGTTTCTTTTTTTCGCAACACTTTGGACTCTCAATGGATTCTATGTTTTGTAGGCCTGATCATTGGACATGGAGCAGTAAGGCGAAATCTCGTGAGGTAATTTAATTGTCTTGTCTCTTAATTGTGAATATGTGTTTATCTCTGAATCTTTTTTCGCATTTAATTTTTGTGTTTGGGAAATTTGATTGATTTTCTTTTTGTGTGATTAGGTGAAGATATTTGGTAAAGAAAGACGGAGAATTATTTTCCACCCTCACTGGAGTAATGGAACCGCTGGGGTCAGAGGTAATAGGATTCTTAATAGTGGTCACCAAGAGTGTATTTATTGGGAGGTAAGAGGTCAAATTGTGAATTTACTTTCCCACCAGAAATTAATTAGTGGAAATGTCAACAGTCAGTTGGTCTCTTTTGAGGAACAAAAGATTAACCAGAAGATTCTCCTTAGTAACAGACCATAACAGTACATTGACTTTCTTCATTATGTAACCCTTTCTATTTAATTCGATTTTTTCTTATTCTCTTTTTTTTCCTTCAATTAATTAAATTCTAGGTTCGTTTACCAGACAGAGTATTTGGAACTAGTATGATGTTTGGAATTGGAACTTCTAAGACTCGACTTCAAGCCAATATGTTTACTAATCTTTTAGGTGAAGATGATCAATCTTGGGGATTATCTCATAAAGGTTACATATGGCACAATGGGGAATCTCGTAAATTTTGTAAACCTTTTCGTGAAAATGTGAAAACAACCATCGGATTATTGTACGATTCGTGCCAAGGAACCTTAACCTATTACAAAGATGGGGTTAAATTGGGTGTAGCATTTCGAGGACTTAATCAAGTGTCATCTTCACTTTATCCTTTAGTTTCATCAACCGCAGCCAAAACTGTCATGATTTTGTGTAACCTTAAAGTGGCCTATTATTGTTCAACATTGAAAGAAAGGTAAGAACCGTTTTGATAACAATTATCGACACTTGAAACAATCAATTGAATATTCCAGTAACCGATTTCCAATAAGTGACAAAGATTTATATATCTACTCCCTCTATCCATCTCTCTATCAACCGTTAACTCAAACCTAAAAATTTTACGACTTAATTGTTGTTGAAAGGTTTCCCTTATGCCAAATGACAATTCCGATGACAGAGAGAGAGAAAGAAAATCAAACATATGATATGAAAAGAGTGGGAGGAAGTGGAAAGAAAAACAAAAAATCTATTCCATTAATATCAAGGTAACCATGGTTTCGATTGTTAATATTTCTATGGTTGTCTCGAGTTTTTAGCAAAATTGAAAAGCAAATGTTCACATAAAAGTGAGCAAATGCAAATGTAATGACGATGATGATGTCGGATAAAAATGAACTCAAGAAGGAAAGAGCTTACCTTTCGTGTGTATGATCCATAAAGTCCAAAAATCTAATGTGTACCGATCATATTATTATTTTTTCTTGATCGAATACAATATTATCTTATTTCTCCCTCTCCTTCAAAAAAGGAAGAAGGAGCAGAAAGAGGATGATCAAGATCCAGATGATGAAAAAGGTGAGACAGATGGTTAATCACAATGGGCACGAGACGAGGGACAAACTCGAAGCCGATGTGATCCGTTTGTTAAGCGCAGTAACAATAAGGCCAAACAAATGAAAGTGAAGCGATAAAAAAAGGCATCAAAATCATTTACTGTGACTCGTGGCCTTTTATTATCATAACAATTATAATCGATATTTTTATATTCGAAAATAATTTTTCCCCACAAATTCCTGTGGATAATCTTCTCTTTATCCTTGATCAATTTTCTAACAGTAATTAATTATATTCTCTATTTTGGATTTACCATCAGATGCTTTTGTTTTTGTTCCTCTTTCTCTCTCTGTCTATTCTCAAGGTTAACCATGAGAACGAGTTTTCCTCTCTCACCTTTCGCCCTGTGAACATTTACCTTTGCCCTCGTGTTTCTTTGACCTTGGGCACATTTAATTGTCTATGGTTAACTTTACTGTTGAAGATAATTATCTTCACGCTTTTGTGGGTCAATTTAATTCTAACCTTTAACCAGCAACTTTTTGTTTGTTTGATTCTGTTGGTTGATTAAGAGCATCTGATATGTACATCAAATTGTTACGATGATTGATTAATTGTTCATCAAACTTAACACTGTTGATTGTTTTTGCTCTTAGATTATTCAATGTTAATCAATTTACATCTAAATCAACAATCTAAATGATTGTTTAATTGTTAATCTCAATTCTAATTTTTCATTTAATTTCTTTTCTCACCTTCAGATGTCGATATGTTATCTTGAAAAATTTAACTCGATCTCAGGACATTGAGCAATTACCATTACCATTTAAATTGCGAGATTATCTTAATCATCCATTAGATACTAGTATTAATCATGATGGACAATCAACTTCATCAACTTTAATTGAAGAGGATTCTGTTGATATTGAGATGGATGAACCTAAACAATCAAGAGATATTAATGAAAGTCTATTGGTTAAAATTTATCCAATTCCTGATCAATGGTCACCTAAACAATTAAAAGATCACCAACTTTTTATTAATTAATTTCTAATTATTACCTGGCAATCTTCATGTAACCAACCTAATTGTACAAATTATCGACTCAAACAATTAATGGATCTCATTGAAATTCTTAATTGCAAAAGAAAGCTTAATCCAAAGAAAAATTCATCAAAAATCAATTTAAATCATTCCAATCATCGTCATCACCATTTGTTAATTATTCACCAACAAATTAATCATTTTCTCACCAATTGACAAAATTACAAAGTGGAACAATTAATAATTTAATTAACTTTATAAATTTATTTTCAACTAACCACTTAACACTAATCCAATTTAAAAAACATTCCCCCCTTAACAATTAATATTTATCATCACAATTACCAATTATTACTAATCATTATTAATTATAAGACAATTGTATCAATAATTGTCCTTCATTAACTTAAATCATTCACCAGAATCATGATTTAAACACAATTAAGGTAAAAGAAAACGATTAAGAAATTACTCTTAATCATCAAGTATATTAATATCAGTTGATTTAATTTATTTAGATGATTAAAGATAATCAATTTCTTAATTAATATTGGATGAGGTGGAAAACTAGTCAAGTAAAATCATCTCAATTACATTGAATAATCAAGAAAATGATTAATCAATTACTTTAACCCCAATAATCAATTTTTATAATTTATATATAATTACAATTAATCAATTACAATACCTTCAACCCTTTAACAATTAACCAAATTAATTATTGTATACGAAACAAAATTAATCAATTTCTTGTGCAAAGAAATGAAAACCGAAAACTTTGTGTAATAAACTAACAATTAAAATCCAACAATTAAAACTATTAAAATTATTAATTATTCCAATTGATTGCAAAGAACAACGAAATCAACGGAAATGAATTAAACTTAAGTGCCTCTCAATCACTGATTTAAGTTGTAATTCTGATGATTAGTAAATTGATTAACTTTAATCGTTACAATCAAATTAAATCTCAAGTCTAAAAACTCCTAAACGAAAAATGTAACTAAGTTATTAGTAAAATTACTAATTAATTAGTTAATTATTCTTATGCTTTGATAAGATAATGAAATAGATTATTAAATCATAACAATCAAGAACAATTAGAAACAATTTAGGTGCAACAATTAACAATTAATCCAGTAAATCACGTTACAGTTGAGATTATGAGAGATTAAGATTAGTAATGTATGACTGTTGATTGTTATTACTTTAGATTATGTAATTAAATCAAATTAAATAATTCCATTGAATATTAAATTGGAAACCTTGACAATCAATTAATTGTTCACATCGATTTTTGATTCGTCTCAATGGAAAAGCAAAAACCAGGACAACATAAAGATGACAAAGGAAAATGATTTGTTATGTTTACCTTGAGAAATTGATTTAATCTCGTTAATTAATTTGTTTATAATTTTGATTTTGTGACAATTAACCTTATCAACAATCGGTGATTCTATTAAGCACAATTAAATCCGGTTAAATTATCTCAAATAATCACCAATGTGATAAAACAAATCAACTTCTTTGTGAATATCAACAAACAGGAGGCCCAATGGTAAATTTAACCCTCCGAATGGTATAAACATGAAACAATCAGTTAATTACTGAAATAATCATTAAGTTAACAACACCACTATTACCATGGACAATTAATTAATCATCTCAACAACTAATCAAATTTGATTTGGATCTTTTTCTGTGTCTTGTTTACAAAGGAAGAAAAATTTTCTATTCTCTTTGGTTTTCCCTCGCCCTTATCAGAGTCTTAATGTTAATCGTTCCTGTTGTTGTTGATGGTGAATTTTGATCTCTATTAATTAAGAATAAACAATCAACAATTAAGTGATTGCTACATCTCGTGTTGCCTTTTCCAATTGATCAGAATTTTCCATTTTCTCTTAAAGTCACTTTGCCTTTATGTTTACAATCTCATGGATCAAGAGAGTATTTGAATTAAGTGATCACCAGTTTCGCCATTTCTCCGAATTACTCTGTTGATTTGAAATTCTCTTCGATTAATAGAACAAATAATATTTATGATTCAATCTGTTCCAAGGTTAAGGGTACATGTAAACCTAAATTGTCCCACAATTCTGGAGAACATTAAATAGAAAAGAAGAGAACAACTTGTAACGACTCCAAGGTAAGAAGATTCTGTGATCATCCAACCTCCTTAATCCTTCCTCATCTTCCAACATTCTAATCTTTATCTCATCTCTAATTTTCTTTATCCTTTTCCATTTTCTTCCCCTACAACCAAAACATCTTCATAAATTAATTGCAAATTTCCCCTTTTTCTCAAACAAGTGAGAATAGAATAATTTTCCATCAATTCTCTAATCTCTAATCTCTTCCATCATCTATTTCATTCAGTGTTTATAAACATGATGGTAATTTCTATCAAATTAACCCTTCCTGAAATTCCCAAAACTGATTAACTAACCTTGAATTCTCCATGTAACATCTTTAAATCATCATAGAAACAGTTGATTATCTGTTAGCTGAGTAGTTCTATTGACTTATTAAAATCATGATGCGTGTTTATTTACCATTAAATCTATAGACATTTTCACTTATCAATTTTTCCATAGACTTTTTATCTCTGTGTATCCCCTTTTCTCTCTCACTCTCTCACTCACTCTCTCTCTCTCTATCTCTCTCTCTGCACCTTCTCACTCGATTATCTACTTAATTGTCTTCTTATTTCCACCACTCATTCTCTTCTCAACTCTCATCACCTTCTTCTGATGGTAAACAAATACAATATATTCTATTCTATTCTGTCTTCTAGTGTCACCAGCATTTGGATCATCAACCAAACGATTTAACCAACAGTTTATTTCTGCCATTGGAACAATTAATCATCGGTTACTGACAACATCACATTCCTATTAATTTACCTGTTCTTTTTTTCTTGGGTTTTCCATTTATTCTGTTTGTCATTTTCATCTGGAGGATATAAACACACATACACTCAAATCGAAATCTTTCAAAATTCAAATTCTATTATTGATCATCTTTAACCATGAGACCAATTAACTTAGCTGATTGTCAAGAGACTAAGGAGTTTGTCATAATTGGCAATGGTCCATCAGCGATTACTTTAAGCTACCTTTTAGCCGGTAATTGGCCTTATTATAAGCCAAGTGAACCTCATCCCAATATTGAGTTAAATGCTCGTTTAACTTCACCAAGTGATTCTGAAACATTTAGTGATCAACTCGATTTATCGACAATACCTTTAGTAAAACGTGACTTACAATATTTATCTAATGGTTTACCAGGTCGTTCTCGTAATCCAGTGTCCATTTTGTTTGATGCCTTACAACATCCTGATGCAGATATTGGTTCTGACATTCCGACAGCTCTTTCTTGGTCATTCCATCCAGAGAAATCAGTTTCCCATCTTGTCCTTGGTTCAGGTCCACCCGGTGGTTCTTGGCAAAAAATGAAAGATTGTAATAATACCTTAACCATTAGCCTCGGAACATGGATGCAATTACCCAATTTAAATATAAGACAATGGTCTTGTGATACTAAAAGAGAGTCTCGAGTCCCTTTGGGTCGAGTTGCCAAATATTATCGTGATTATGTTAAATGTCAAGATCTTGAGAAATATTTTCTCAATAATAGTCAAGTTACACGTTTGGAATACAACGAGGATGATGCCCTTTGGAAGGTTTCGGTAATGGAAGAGAAAGTTGGACATTTCACCATCTCAACCCCTCGGGTGGTTCTTGCCACTGGAGTCAATGAGAAGCCAAATAAATTGGGTATCAAGGGGGAATCTTTTCCCTTTGTCATTAAATCACTGACAGAATTTGAGAAGGTTTTGTCCAACTTGGATCGAACAGTTTGTAATGATCCCGTTTTGATTGTTGGTGCTGGTCTGTCAGCAGCTGACGCTGTTATTACCGCTCGATTTGAGGGCATACCAGTTTATCATGCATTCCGGCGGCATCCTGATGATCCCACTCTTATATTCAATCAATTACCTGGAAACATGTATCCCGAATACCATAAAGTTCATCAGAAAATGAAAGGAAAAAGTCTATCAACCGATTATAAAGCTTTCCCTATGCACTGTATCAGTGAGATTCGAGCCAATCGAACTGTTGTTCTAACTAACCTTATCGGTGCTGAATACAATGGCCTAGGTGATTCAACTCGAACAACTCTTCAGGTCTCTTATATCCTTGCGCTAATTGGACGACGGGCTAATCTTGATTTTATTTACCCAAAACGATTGCGATCCCAATTGCTGCAACATCCAACTCAACCATTCCACAGTCGAAACAATCCAATTGCGATTAATCCCTTTACACATGAGTGTTTGAACGTTGAGAAACTTTACGCCATGGGACCGCTAGTCGGTGATAATTTTGTTCGTTTCGTTCAAGGAGGTGCATTGGCCATTGCAAATCATTTCTGGTCATCGTCACCAGCCCCAATTTCACCATCATCGTCTTCATCTGAAGATTCACCGGATGATCCTTGAAAAGGGAGCCATTGACTGTGAGTGAGATTGGAAATTCAGAGTAAACTCAGAACAGAAAGTGCAGAAAAGAGACAAAAGTTCTGGGAAAATGTCGCAATTTTTTTTATCAATTAATCACTTGGATTTGTAGACTTGAACTGGAAAAAAAAATTTGAGCAATCAAAATGAAGCCAATTCTTTGTGTTCAGATTTTCATCTTCAATGGTGTGAAACACTCATCACGACGAGGACAAGTAAATTAAGCCTAAACTGGTCACACAATCAAATTTTACCAAAGTGCATACCCTACAATTAGTTGATTTGAAAACAGCCAATCGAGATTCACAATTGAATTTGGATCAATTCTCAACTTGAATCATTCCAGGAAAACTGCTCAATTTTTTCATCTCAATTCAAAACACTTAAACTACAAACTTACAAGATACTGAGACACAAAAGCCAAACAAATGTAAAGGAAACCCGAAAGACAATAGACAGCAATTATTAGCTGCATCATAATTAAATCAACGATAGTTTAGTAAATCATTAAATTGCCAAAGAAAAGACAGGAACCAAAGCTAAAATGAGAATTGGGATCTATTTGTTATGCAATTTAACTTTGAACTCGATGGTATTTTCCTTTATGGAGAAACCCAAATATCTTTAATCTTAATCTCTTGATCCTTCTAATCAAATTTGTCTTCAATGTGAAAGAGGGAGAGAGAAAGAGAGCTGAAGATAACGGAAATATTAAAGAAAAAGGAAGATGACAAGAGACCCGAGTTGACAAATTGGTAGAAAAAGTTTTCCAATTGAGTTGGATTACCGTTTATCGGACGTTAATCAACAAGTGTAAGATGAAAATCTTGATTGTTGGATATCTAATCTTACCAAAGAATCAACATCAATTACTATCACCATAATTCATCTCGTCTTCATCTAAACATCATTTCCTTTAATATTGCTGACAAATTGATTAATCAATTGAAACCTTAAAAAATTGACATCAATCAATCAGATGATTCACTCGATTCCATTTCTAACCATCTATCATCCAACCAGTTATCTTTAATCAACAACAATTAAACACAAGTGAAAGTTTAATAATCACTGTCAAATCCAATGGAGGAAAAGAAAAGACTTTGGAACAACAATCAACATAGAAAAGTTAATCAACTTAATTAGAGTGAATCACCTGTTGTAGTGAAAGTATTGATTCCCTTGGAGTATTTAATTTTCAATTAATTTCAAAGTTTTTTTTTTAATTAGTTGATCATTTTTGAAGTAAATTGGCTGATGAACAATTAATGAACTTAAAATAATATTTGATAGTTTACAATATTTTTCGAGTTGTTTTTAAAGAGGAAAAGCGAGAAGAGTTAATAACTGTGATTGACTGGTTACAATTAACTAACAATTAGATTTTTCTTTGTTCTCCTCTACAATTTTTTTAACAATCGGATTTTAATCAACTTCATATCGTTAATTGTTACATTCATGGACTTTGTCATTGGATCAAAGAGTCGCTTCTCTCTCTCTCGAGTGAAATGTCTTCATCATCAACAATTTAAAAGTTTCCATTAACTAACAATATTTAGATCTTGGCTCAATAACAACCGTTAATTTCCTGTGACAATTATGCCAACTTTAATTAGCTACGAGAATCTAATCAACATCATCGCACAAACAAAGTTAAAAATATGAATTAAACACAATCAATTCAGGTCAAGGTGATTAATCAACAAGGAGTGTAAATGGAGAGATTTTTTTTTCTCGACTCACAATTAAGAGAAGCCAAAGAAAGAGGATTTAACTGTTATAATTACAATCGAATTTATTTTTTCCTTTATTTTTTAATCACTGTTACAATCTAATACTCGTTTCCACTAAAACTTTATGATTTAAATGAAATTATTTGCCCTGTGTTTTGAATTTTAATTGTTGAATTGCAAAGTTTTCAAATATTTTTTATCAACTGTTAATTTGATTGTTTTGTTTAATCGTTACCACCAATAAGTCATTTGATGTAAATTAAATGATCGAAATTGTTAAATTTGATCTAAAGCACAATACGAAAATAAAATTGACAATTGACTCTCCAAATCATTTATCTTTGTATCTGAACAATTTGTTGATTGTATTCGCGTCTTTCTATTAACCTTGATTTGGTTTAACTTTCCATCGATTGCTAAATTAGATTAGGGAAAAGTATGTTAATTGATTTTCCTTATCATGATCGATAAATCTGATTACAGGTTTGAGACTGAAGTCCGATTTTTGATAAACGAATCAAATCTTGAAATTAATTACTGACATGAGTACACTTGAACCATTGATATTAATAGATTCACGAAAAAATAGAAGTCAAATTATTAATATATCGAGAAACAAAGATGAGAATTGCAATTGGCTTAATTGTAATGATTGTATTTTCACGTGAGATTCATTGATTTGTTTACAATTGTGTTCAAATTGTCGAATGGTTTGTATGAAAAGTGGACTGGATGAGACGATTAAGAAGATCGAGATCGATTGTTATTCGATGAGTTTGGTGGTTCTGCTGATCCATTTTGATGGGGAGGATCAGCGGCAAATCGCAAGGCCTCTGCAAATGATAAGACAAATGATCGGCGTTGATTGTGCATTTCCTGTGAAGGAAAGAGGGAGAAAACAATCAGTATTTCATTAATTGTTGAGGATAATCAACTTACCCTTTTCTGTTCTTGGATAAAGTTTCTTAAAAATTCTGGTGTCACTTGATTCAGGTTATCAAGATTATCGAGAACGTTGTTTGAGGTTATTTCATTGATACGATTTTCCATCACATCCAATCTTTCATTAAATTGTCTGCTTAGAGTTTCAACTGAAGACTGAATTCTGGATATCGCACCGAGAATTGGTGCCAATGTTTGTGGTGATAAAGGTGATGGCGAATCATGAGAAGCATTAAAATTGGAGATGGGATTACGAGGTACCAATGGCGGTGGCATTTGGTTACTGGTATCGCCGCTCTCATCACTAGCAGGTAGAGGTGGAAGTGGCCTTGCAGTGGGCTCAAATGGTATGGAACTGGAAGATGAAGGAAGAGAAGTGCTTGGTGTTGATGATAAATTCATTTGAGATACATCGGGATGGCTCAATGGACGGCGATTTCTTGGTAATCCTCCAATTGGTTCACCGAGTGTGTTGGAACTTTGTCTCTAAATGATGAGTACAAGAGGCGGGGAGAAAAAGATCACATTAGAATCAAGACACAATCGAATCGTGGCCAAGAATAGTTCACTTACTTGGCCTGTTGTCGACGCTGACATTTGAAGATCATTCGGTCGAACTGGTTGACCAACACCAGAGGCAAATGATAGACTTTCGGGTGAATCATCTTCAGACGACATGTTTGCTGTGGTTGTTGGTACTCGGAGCAGATCGGGAAAAGTGATTGTAGCTTGTTCTGGTCGCTGAAGAGCTTGAAATCCCTCTGGAGCATCGTCTTCTATACCTGAGCCATTATCTTCATAATCATCATCATCCGATTGATTAGGATTTTTATTGGTTCCCTTTGATTCACAGGAAAAGATAAGACAAATTTTACATTGGACAAAATAGATTAATTCCTTATGAGAGAGACAATCGTTTAGGTAATTTCTTAATCTCTATTACTTGAGATGTTTCACAATAATAGATTAAGATTAACAAAAATTCACTAATCAACTCACCTTTTTATTTTCAATTAGCATGTTGATTAAAAAGTGATATCAAAGACTCAAAGAAAAAAAGTAAACACCAAATGAATAGAGAAAAGTAAAATTATCACCAATTTATCATTCGATTGAAGTTAATTGCTTGAAATTTAGACAGTCACAAGTGTCAACACTTTAATTATATCACATTTACTGAAATTAATCATGAAGATGATGAAAATTAATTGGCTGATTTGATTAATCAACGTGTGCAGTCAAATGCCAATGAAAAGACTCAAGTCAGTCAACAGATCAGCTGATCCAAAGAAATTGTTTTCTCATTGAAATTCAACCTTCTCTTTTTTTTCATTTCCAATTGTAACTGTTGATTAATTGTACTTTTATTTTCCAATTTAAAATCAATTTACTGCTATTCTCAGCCCGATGTACTTTTTAATTGTTGAAATTAAAAAAATGGACAAATTTCATGATTAATCAATGATCAAGAATCGGATTCTCATCAAAAGGTAAACAAAACAATTCATCAGGATGAAGAAATTGATATAAATGTTATTGGAAACTTTATTTTGACTTTTCCATAATCAAATCTAATTGGTGATGAGGAAAAAGTTAATCATCTCAAGTTTAATTGGTTAGTTTATTCAGTAATTAATTGTGAAAATCGCAAAAATATTTTAATTCATCGATCTGTTGATAAAAGATGAAGTGAATTGATTGTTTTGGAAACAATGTTAACAAGTTTATTAACTTTCTGATGATTTACTGTTTATTTAATTGTTTCTTTTGTTATTTATCATTTAAATTTGTCCTTGATTAAAATCAACAATCAACTAATTACATTATTACCAAGTTTATCTACCTTTAGGTTATCCAATACTATTAACCATTATATTGTTTTGTATCTAACCTTGGATTAGATTAGTGTAAAAATTGTTAAATATTCCCGTGAAAACCTTGAACAATTAGCATGATCAAAACTGTTATTTACTATTTGCTAATAACAATCAGTTGAGAAATATAATTAAAAGTTACAATTAACTTTTCCCGATTGGTAATAATTGTTCTCGTTAGATGGCGCCACTAAAATCGGATTAAATATTTACAATTAACTAAATTGTCTTGAATAATAGTTTCCTTTTTGAGTAAATTATCAATGATTAAATTTCACAAGACATTTGATTAATAGGGTTGCATTTTGAAACATCATTCAATCATGAAAATTTGGTTAAACCTTCAATTTGTTGAAAATTAGTCTTGGAAATTGATTTTTGGGCGAAGCCGCAATTAAGTAAAAAATTCAATTAATTTTCAATTAATTTACTAATTACTCATGAAAAAGTTGGGGAAAAATAAGTGATGATCAATAATGAATGAAATACATCAAATTATTGAGAATTTTGAAAAGTTTTCTTCAACTCTACCAGTTAATTGATAGTTAAATTGTTAGATTGAGTTAATGATGATGTGGCTTATGATGGGCCTGAATTTTTGATCGATGGTCAATCAATAACCTAAACGATGACCGCAAGGTATGAAAAAAAGTAAAAGAAACAAGAAAAACAAGATGAGGGGTCAATTCTAGTGGATGGTAACAATATAATTATATTCTTATTGAATCACAATCAACTAATTTGATTTTTTTTTCTTCTTCCCAAAAAAACTTGATCCCAATTTCATGCACTAACCTTTATCTCCCATTTTTAACTCAATCAATAGTTTCTACCTGTTGTTAAACGTGAAGTTGATTAACAAGTCAATCTAATTAGAAACCAGTTGTAGCAATCAGAAACAAATCTTTAACTGTTGATTCTCATTCTTATTACAATCAACTAACACCACGTTCAAGGTACATTAATAGTCTAAATTGCTCAACATGTAAATCATTATTCATTTCGTATTCTCATCTGTATCTTGTTTTTTTAAACTCGAATCAATTTAATTTCTTTCTCTCTTTGGATAACATTTTAATTGTGTTTTCTTTTGATTGTCATCATCATCGATTCACAATGAGATTGACAGTTATTAATTTCTCATGTGCTTTTGTGCTTCCATTGGTCATCCATTTGTTGGCCAGTTTTAATTTTGTCCAAAGTGAAACAACAATTAACTTTGATTATCACAATTACGATGAGATGACAATGATTTTAAATGATATTAACCGTAATTATCCACAATTAACATCACTCTATTCCATAGGAAAATCTGTCCAGGGTAAGTTGTCACAATTAAAATGATTCTTAATCCATTAACTAACAGTGAAAAACTAAATCTAATTTAAGGTCGTGAGCTTTGGGTCATGTTAATTAGTAAGGACATTAATGAAGAAATCTTAATGAAACCGAATGTCAAATACATTGGAAACATGCATGGAAATGAGGTAAAGCCTTTGATTGTCAATTGATTGAATTTAAATGGTTGATCAATTTTGTTAACAATTGAATTTGATTTTCAGGCTGTTGGACGTGAAATGTTGATCCATTTAATTTTATATCTATTAACAAATTATGAATCAGATCGATATGTTAGATATTTAGTTGATAATACGAGAATTCATATTATGCCTTCGATGAATCCTGATGGGTTCGAGATGTCAAAGGAAGGTCAATGTCACGGAGGAGTAGGAAGGTAGGTCAATGTCTATGGTGGGAAAATTTATTCTCAAAATTAATCGACCATCGAAAAAAAAAATTGTTTTCTCTTACAGAGGAAATGCTAATGGACGTGATCTTAATCGTAACTTCCCCGACTATTTTACCCCGAGCGATACTCCCCCTGAGGCTGAAACTCGAGCTGTTCAAGAATGGATTCGTAAGACACCCTTCGTCTTATCGGCTAATCTACATGGTGGTGCTTTGGTTGCAAGTTATCCTTTCGATAATTTCCCACAAGGAAGTTAGTTAACTTCGACTAGAAAAAAAAAGAAATCAAATTAACTTAAATCATTTTCATATCTTTTCCTTTTTTTCCCTTTGCTGCAACAATTAAGTTTTAGGTCCATTGAAATCAGCTCGAAATTCACCAGCACCCGATGATGACGTTTTCTACCATCTCGCCAAGATATACTCTTTCAACCATCGAACTATGTACCAGGGTAAGCCCTGCCCTGGGCCCGGTGGTACCGATGGATTTCCCAATGGAACCACTAATGGAGCTCATTGGTATCCACTCGCTGGTGAGTTTTGTTTTATTGATCATTTCTGAGATGCAATTAAGATTGGAACAATTTACTTCTATTACACAGTTGGATTACAATTAGAATTCATTTTTTCTTTTGCACTTTTTGATGAAAAAAAAAGAACTCATATTTTATCATCTCTTCCAACTCATCGATGGGATTTGAACGAAAAAAACGAGGTCAACTAATATAATTTGACCTGATTTGAATTGTCAAAATTTAGATGAACGTTAATTGTCTGTCTAGATTGTTTTTCCAACACGTTTGTGTTAAAACAGATTCTTAAATTTTCCCACCAATTGATTACAATCAATATTTACGATCAAACAATCAGTTGAATTGTATTTTTTTTTGCTCCAACTCAGTTGAAGAATTGACTTTGCCTCATTTCGCAAGCAACTATTTAGATTTAATAACTGAATTGGGTGTTAATTGTATTATTTCAGGTGGAATGCAGGATTACAATTACATTTGGGAAGGTTGCATGGAGCTGACTCTGGAATTGTCATGCTGCAAGTATCCTTATCGTCACGAACTATCCCAATTCTGGATGGACAATAAACAAGCACTTTTAACTTATTTGGGTGAAGCTCATCGAGGAGTTCGAGGCTTAATTACAGATATTAACGGTAATCCGATTCCACGAGCATTATTGATGATCAAAGGTCGAAACATTTCATTCAAAAGTTCTGATAAAGGTGAAATATGGAGAATCCTTTTACCTGGAACTTATACCGTTGAGGTGAAAGCTGAAGGGTTCGAGTCAATGAGTAAAACATTTACCGTTAATGATGGAGAAATAACTGAAATCTATTTACAATTAACACCAAACGAATTCGTAAGTTAATGTGAATCCAGTACAGAAAAATTATCTTTGTTTATTGGTTTAATTTATTTGTTATTTTCTCAGAGAAAAGGATTAGTTTCATCATTAATGCCTTCATCATCCTCATCTTTTGATTCTCATCCATTGTCACATCATAACGACACTTTATTTTTCCCTGATCAACCATTTCCATACGTTGGATCATCTTCAATGGTTCACAAGGAAACAATTTATTCAAAATTCAATCGATGGGTCAACAATTGGGGATAGAATTTAACATTTTCATACTTAATTAGGACAAAAATTTATCTAAATTACTTGTATCTGTATATATAATAATAATAATCTATGTAATTACTAGACAAACAATTGAAATCAAATTGAAATAAAATATTAAAGATTAAACGAGAGACTCAAGCTCCAAATGCTTCTTATATAAATTTTTCCTCTTAGAATAAAATCAAAACTGTTACAATTATCAAATTATTCATTGAAAATGATAATCAATCAGTTTAATTTCAAGAAGTTTATTTGTCGAAATTAAAAAAAATTCTTTTCTGTATTAATAATTGTTCTCGTTAGATGGCAGCACAAACTCCAATTTCGTATGAAATTTTAGCAGATGATTTTTTTTTCTTGTCAAATTTTTTGTCTAATTTTTTGAGTTTGTTTTGATTGTTTTGGGTTTATTTTGGTAATTTAATTGTTAGTGATTAGTGCATTTTTTTCTTCTTCTAAATTAACCCTTAACCTTTTCTTCTTGTCATCTTTTCTTAAATCGAATTTGATTTTCCTGTATTATGACTTAACCATTTACTCTGGAAAATGAATTTTTCAACAAATGTTTTCTTCAATGTCTTGGATCGATGGATTTTTCCTCTGTATCTCTAAATTGTCATCGTATAAAAGTATTGAAATCTATCAGATTATCGATTATGGATTAAATTAATTTATACTAATCAACCCTTAAAACGATCTGACAGTTTACGATTTAGTTACTTTGTTTCTATATTCATGTAAAAAATAATCTTTTTTTAGTCTATTCTGATCAATTTCATCAAAGGTAAGAGACATTTTCTATTCTTTTCTCCTTTTATCCACCATATTTATTTATTCTCGTCACTTTTACCAATTATTTCTTGATTTCTATTTCACAGAACAAAATATAAAATTCATTGGTAATGAACCTCCAAGAGCTACTTCAGGAATTCAACCCTAGGTTTGTATCAGAAAATCTCTTGTTGGTTTAAATGATAGACATAATTTCTACCAATGGTCTCAAATAGCTATTAATTAGTTATTCAATTAATATATTGAGTCATTTTATTTTATGGAACAAAGAATTTGAACTCGAAAAACAATAACTAGTAATGTAAACTTATCATGCAAAAATCGAAAGTGATCCATATTGTAATTTTTGTCTCGTTGTTTTTTGATTGACGATTTTTTTGTTTTGATGAATTCGATTACATTTTAATTCATTATTTTCTCTTTCAATTTTCAGCAATTTCGTGGTTTACACATGTCTCCTTCTATTCAGTATCCTGTTTGCTTTCCGTTTAGATGGAACCATAAGCTTGAGCTATTGGCTCGTTTTCATGCCTCTTTGGATTTGGAAATGTTTAGTTATTCTTGGTGCTATAGTTGGTTCTCTAGTTTGGATTCGAAATCCCGAATATCGGCTGAGCGAATCATCATATATTCACTTTAAATCCATGCTAATCAGCTTATCCCTACAATTGTTACTCCTGATGTTTGAACTTCTTGTCTGTGATAAACTTGAATCCGGTAGACACATGTGGATATTAGCATTTATCCCATTGATATTTATTTCTCTTCTTTCAATGGCCATTTGTATTTGGGCCTTTAAAAATGATCGTGCCTTTGAATTGGAAGTTTTCTGCGCTGTAAATGTGCTTCAGTTTATTTTCATCGCTCTTCGTCTTGATCGTTTCATCAACTGGTCTTGGGTTGTTGTTTTCGTCCCTTTCTGGATCGTAATGTGTCTCGCTATCATCGCTGTTCTTTACGCTCTTATTTTTGCTGCAATTCTTTTACGAACACCGGAAGTTGCAATTGAGCAACGAAAAGCCAGTATCCATTCAGCAATTTCATATTCTCTGGTGGTGATTCCACTGCTTATTTTTCTGGTCCTTCTTTCCAATAAATTGGATACAACATCCGATTTCGCCTTCTCACCTTTAAGGTCCACTCTTCTACACACTCCCGTTATTGACCATTTAAGACCATCTTACTTTACAATATGTATTCCTCTTTACTTTTCTTTCCTAATACTTATCTGCCTCTCTTTTAATAGTAAAGGAAACAATCAATGTAAGTCGTCATCTTATTAATCCTCATCTTTCTAATCTAATAACTAACTAATCTTGTTCTTTTCTTTTTTCTCCATCAGGGTGGTTCGGTATGAGGAAAGATTTTTGTAGTTTTCTCCTTTCTGTGTGTCCATGTCTACGAGAATATGGTAATATCTCATACAATAAGCAGAATAGTAACTTGAGTAGTCGCCATGGAAGTCAAAATGTCATCGATTCTGATCAAGTGTCTAATAGCACTAATCCTGTTACCGGTGATGAGAATAGTAAATACAAAGTCCATTCAAATCACAAGAAAATAATGATGCCCATCATGACCCTGGAATCACCTGATTAACTGGAAATTAATTTTCATCTACAATCAATTTAATTGTCATTACTGTTTGTTTACTTTTCTTCATCTACTTTCAAAGTTCAATCAAATGAGAAACCTAATCAATGCATAGCCTTTAATGTACAAAACTTTGTGACCCATGATGATTTTTAAATGCTATGGACTATGCTGATTAGAGGGATAGTTGACTTGGAATTGTAATCAATTTCAATTATCAAACAATTCATTCATTACCATGAATCACAATCATACCTCATTTTATGCAATTGACTTGAATTCCCACCTCCCACATTTGAATTAATCGCATAAACATTCAAATCATTTGGGATATTCATGATATGCATACACAATCATAATTAATTAATATCTAATCAAGGTCTATACAATGTTAGCTAATTGTAATAATTTACCTAAAAAATGTGAATAAGTTCAATCCAATTGGTTAATTGTTACTAACACCTTTCTTTATTGTCTTCGTTTATTCGTAGAGTTAATTAGAAGCACTTTTCCTTCGTTAATTTCCATTAACCCAACAATTAGCTTCCTAATTTACTCTGAGTTTTTTTTCTCAATTTCATCTTGGTCACAATTGTAACTATTAACCTTAATTATTTGATTCATTTCTCATCTCTAAATGTTTGACCAATTGACAAGATGCACACACGTAATACTATCAGTTAACTAATATCTGAATCAATAACTATTGTAATATATTATAAATATTCAATAATAACTTAAGTCTAACAATTAATAATTGATATCAGACCAATCAAATTGAAATAAAATAAGTCAACAATTTAATCCAATAACTTGACTATCAAATTGTCACCAATTTCTAACAATTAAAACTCATCAATAAAAAAGAAACCATTGAGATTACTAATTTTCAAAAGATTAATCCAGTTTATTAATCCTGATTGATTTTGATTTTCTTCTCAATCAAACATTAATCTCAGCTCAAGTTATTCAATTGGATTAAAAGTTAATCAAAGAAAGTTAATCCGAGATGATTTCCGTCTCTCTCTCTCTCTTTCTTAATTGTCCACAATCAAAATCATTGGAATTATTTTACCTTTATTTATCAATGATTGCATTTTTACATCAAATCGTAAGGTTTTTGTAAATAAAAGTTTATTGTTGAAGTTAATTGACGTAAATTAATTAGCACACACTCTCACTCATCTCAATGTGGAAAAAAAACCTTACTAGCCCCTTACAATCATCTGCTGATATAAACTGATTGCAGATTTAATGATTCAACTATTGACTGGCACCGCCAGTTTGTGAGCCTTTAGTCCATGATATTCGAGACTTTTACGATCGATGAATCCCTTTTTACAAATGGAACATTGAGTTTCTAATAAGAGAGAAAATGAGAAATAATCAGAGAATTGAGTATTAATTAGATTATGCAAGTTCTGAGATGAGAAACAATGAAAACTTAATGATACCTATTTCTTTAAATGCTTTACAGTGTCGTCCATGACTATTTAGTTTGTGGACACAGTTTTGCCTCCATTTGGCTGTGAAACTTTGACCACATGGACAATGCATGACCGAGTCCGTCCTTACTTTCTTCTTGTTGTGTTTCTTTGTGCTGTGGATATTAAGAGCTACACAAGTCAAAAATGTCTTCTTACAGAGTTGACATTGCTCACCAATAGCTATTTAAAAAATGAAAAAGAAAGGGAAAGAAATTAATAACAGGGAAATTAAATAGGATAGAAAAATAATTTACGTACTTTTTTCACTTGATTTGGTGCATATCTTTTGGTGTTCACTCCAATCAGTGATTGAATTCAAATATTCTCCGCATTTACAGTTGAATACGTTTCTTTTCATGGATAGTAAGAGTTGAACACCTTCATCATCACTTTCTTCATGAGAACGAGTCATTCCATTATTGCTGCCGCTTGTGGTGTTTGTCATTCCAATTTTTGTCGATGTTGATGTAGACCCACCTGATAAATAATTTGATTGTACATTTGTTGTAGGAATATTGGTATCGTTTTCAATCTCCATGTCCCTGAATGAGGTAGAATCTGCAGGTGACATGCTTGCAATTTGCGAAACAATGTCTTTATATTCACTCATTTTCAGCAGAATGTAGTTTTGTCCTCTGTGGTTTGTTGCCAACTGTAAATTTCTCAATTTTGCTTGTAACATTCTCTCTCTGATTGATAAATTATTAATAATCTTAAACTTTTCAGCTTTATGAGGTATATTTGGTAAGTGTGTGGAAACAGGATCAGTTTGAATTGATATATCTCGAGTATCATGACATTTTTCATGTTTGATTTTTATAAGATGAGCATCAATTTCACGTATTGGATTAATCTGATATCTTATGGATACAGTTTTCTCTTCTAGCTCTTTTAAAATGTTATTCTCTCTCCTTAGAAGGTCAATGTTTTTCTTAATGTTTTTGATTGTCTCAATCAAATAATCTCGTTTTTGATGAATGTTACATGGGTTTTTGGTATTTGGGGTATGCCCCTTCCTCAGATCAATCATAGCTTGAGCTAAGCGCTCTTCAAGAGATAAATCTACTTCCATGTTGCAAGGTAATCACACACTCCGAAAAAAAAATTGATACAAAAACAGAGGAGTGGAAAAGATGAATGGAAAGAGAGAAAAAGAGAAAGGGAAAGTGAAAGAGAAAGAAGAAAGAGAAAGACAAATATAGGAAGAAAAAGATGAAAGAAAAAAAAAGAATTGAGAGAAGAACAAAGTGAAAAATAAATTGATACAATATATAAATAGATGATTTCACTTGTGATAAAAGTTCCAAGCAATAGTTTACACAAATTTTGATAAACAATTACGAAAAAAAATTAATTATTACAAATAAAAATAGAAAAATGATTAATTGTTCCAATAAAAACAAGTCCAGAACAAAGACAAAAATCTGAGTTTTTTTGTTTTCTTTTTGTTTTCTTTTTCTACTGAACCACAGATGGCGCTACTTTCGAAGATGCTCGATAAATAGCCTCATTGTTATTCTCACTGAAAACTTTCATTCTTAATCAATTTCTGAACGAAATTATTATTAGTTAATTGTTGTTAATTTCTAGTCTTTTCTTGGGTTAATTGGTAGCAATTTACTAGACATTTCCATTAATTCCGACAATTAGCTCTTCCTGATTTTCTTTCAAATAACTTTTTTCATCATCGACTAATTTAATCAATTGATTGACGAAACGATTATTATTCAATTGTTGTTACCATTTGATAACAATTTAATTATTTCACGAACAAAATTCAATGATCAACTTTGATGACCTTAACAATAAAATAATTTTGCCTTAGGTTAATCAAGTCGATCAACCGATGGTAAACTTTCAATTACGATTAAGCAAAAGTTAATCAAGGTCATTTCCGGGTTTCCTTTAATTAGTAAATTATTTATCGAGGACAATTAATAACTATTATCAACATTTCTACCCTTTGTTAATTGTTGTTTCCAATTGGGAAACAATTAGTTTTCTTTGATTCTTATTTTGATTTGTTGCAGTTAATTGTTAATCATTATAATCAGTAAGTGATTAACTTTATTTCCTTGTTGATGAGACAATTAATCATATGATTTAATATGATTACATATTTTGACTTAGCAATTAAGTTTAGTTACACTGACGGAAGTCACAATCAATTGTGTTTGGTTAATTTTCAAACGGTAATTTAGTAATTATAATTCATTGGAAACTTAAATCATCAATTGTAATCTTTAATCAAATCAATCCAACGATTAAAGATCAAGTTTTGGTCAATCAAAAAAAACAAACAATTTAACAAAATTGACCCAAAAGTTGATTGATCATCCTGAAAAGGTTAATGGTCGAGTTGAAGAATCAAATCAGAATTAATTGTAAAGTTAATCTTATTTACCAAATTGATTGAATGATTATCGTTAATGAAAACTAATCATTTACCATTAGAAGATCAAGTCAGTTGATTGAGAAGCTGCTTAAATGTTACGAACAAATAATCAAACAAAGAGTAGAAAAGATTATTCTGATGATTAATTAACTAATTAACTTATATTTGTTGGTTCCTCCTCATTTTGACAGTAAAGATTTTAAGTGAATAGTGAATTTTGAGTTGAATCCTTTTGTCTTTGAATTGAGTAAGTTGAAAAGTCACTGATTCATCGGTATTAATTGCTGATTAGGTTGAGAGTCCGAGGCCCTCCGGGCCATTAATTGATTACTAATTAGGTTTATGTCTCACACCTAACCAAAGATGACCAAACTTCATTCAGAACAGCACCAAGATAAACCAAATTAATATCAATTGAAATGAATTTTAGGAAAATTTTCTCTTAAAAACTAAGAAAATTAACAAAGACAAAAGGATTAAACCAAAGATTAACTATTCACCTAGAAGCTTTATTGTGAATATGAGGACGCACCGAAAAATTTTTATGACCTTGAGTTCAGAAGTTATTCAAAAAACAAATCTGTTAATTTAACGTAATCGCCCTGTAGATGCTCAAAATTCTAGAAATAGTTTTAATCGGTATTTGTTCAAAATGTTCACGGCTCATTTACGATCGATAATAAACTCATTTGCATAGTGATAATGATAGAGATGAAGTCAAAACTTTTAATTTCAATTCAATTTTTACTCTATTTAGGGAGGAGACATTAGATTTAACTAAAAACTGATAAATTAATCGAAAAGGATTAACTATCAGTAGATTGGTAGCAAATCCGGTCCGGAGCTTCATTAGTTTGCTTTGGTTTAGGAAAACATCAGTTGATTTTTATACGTTAACTAATTAACCTAATCAGTTGAATTTTTGATTTCTTGTCAATATTTTCATTCATTTTCTTAACAATTGAGTTTTTTTCAATGGAATTGGGTGATTTACCTTACGATTGTCTATCGTGTATATTTGATTGTATTCCTGATCTTAAATCGCTTTTAGATCTGTCAACAGGTAAGAAATTTTTTTGTGCTTTTTTATTTAGAAATGAGATTAATTCATGCATGTATTGTCATCATTGATCAGTTTGTAAACAATGGAACATTTTGGCGAATCAAAGATTGAAAAAAATTCGACATTTACATGGTAAGTTAATAATAAAAAGGTAATTTCATTGTGATTTGCAAAAATATTAACTATACGTCTTTTCAATTCTCGTTGCCCAAAGTTGAGCAAGATATCGATTCTGACCTTGCAGCATCTCCCAATCATCTTTACACGAACGATGTTGGATTGATGGAGAGAGTAAATGTCTCGAAAATGTTTCCAAATCTAAAGGTGAGTTCGCTTAACAAGAAAAAAATCTTTCTCTAATCCATTTCTCTTCGAACTTCAAGTTCTTCACCAAAGATTATACTCTTGAAACCACATGTACCTGCAAGATGATGGTCAATGTTTTGTCCACTTCGAAACCATTAATTGGGCTCATTTGTGAAGATCCATGTCTCGTGTCAAATTCTCTTGACATTTTGTGTCATGTCGATATCGATGATATTGTTAAACACTGTGGTAGCCTCGAGTACCTGGATTCATTGTATCGACCTTTTCTTGGCAGTTATTTCTTAAAATATAAATTTGGTCAGAATGTCAAATACTTCGAAGGTTCAATTGAAGGATACGACGACGATGAGGAAGATAAAAATTATGATTTCATGTTCAAACAAATATATTTGCTATGTTATTACTTGAAACAAATGCCAAATCTTGAAGTTCTGCATCTGAAAGAACCACCAAGTAATTATATTAATGGATTATTTACTATCTGAAATCATTCGGTATATTAATGACTTTTTCTTTACTTAGTTGAACCTCGTCTTTGGCCTTTACCGAAAAACATGAAGTTAAAGCAGATCGATTTTGACAACATTACGACAAAAACATTGGCCTTCCAGTTTTTATCTCGTTTTCCCAACTTGCGAAGTGTTTCTTTTAGCATTCGATCAGTGACAAACAAAGATGAAATTTTCGAAGTTTCCAACCCTTACCCGAATATCCAAGATTGCGCTCTACATATTGGAGGAATAGTAAGTTATCTGTGGTATTTTATGAATTAACCTTAATTGCGAATTCTATTTATCATCCAGTATCAGAACTTGCCTGTCGGATCGTTTAAGCTGATTAAAAGTATTATGGTCAAGTTCCCTAATTGTACAAACCTGTTCATCCATCTCCTGAAAAATATTGCAATAACCAATGAGGATTTGATCGAGACAATCAAAATTTTACCGCATTTAACTCTATTAGTCTTGGATATAAAGAATTGGGGAGATACAAATACTATTGAGACAATCAGTAAATTCTGTCAATCGTCAGGTCGTCGAATATCCTTTTACTTGCTTCGCGATGATCGAATATGGAATCGCACGACCAGAACTGGATCATATACACGATATGCATTGAACAAAGATGTGGCGAATCATTTGAAGACCGACAACAAATTCATTCGAAGCTTTTTTCGTTGTGAATGAAAAGAATTGAATTTCTCTTCAATCTTTCGGTTGTTCAATATTTGGTTTTTCTTATTACATGAAACAACAAGTGAAAACCATCATTTATCATAATAATAATTAGTTTTATTCTCGATCTCGATATTGACGTTTTGAGCTTTCATAAGCTCAATCAGTCATCTTTCCTCTATACTTTTTTTACTTTTAACTGAGATTATTACAATAATACAGTTCCACACAATTTTCAAGTGTTTTGCTTACTATTCAATTGAATAAATAAATGACTCAAATCATTAATTCTTCAAACAGCATTTAGAGAAATGAAGATGCAAACATTTCCCAGTGTACATAATTATCTGGACAACTAAAATAAATCTCATTTGCTTAGGAAAATAATCTAAATCCATTCAAGTCAATAAACTTTTTTAATCTTTGATAAAAGTGAAAAATTGATTCATGAAGATAATAGATGTTGATTGATATGATATTTGAATAAACGATAAAAGTGATTAATGAAAATATCTTTTTGTTCAAGAGAATCAAATATCAGCAAATGATTTCAGCTGAAAAACTGTTAATTATTGAATTAAATGCCCTGAACTATCCGTTTAAAGTAATTTATATTCAACTGATTGAAATAAACTTGGAAAATATGAAATTCATTGAGAAAACGTTTCACCTATTAGAGATTAGGTTAATTTTGCACAATTGATTGGTAACTATGAATGTAGATAATAATGAAGTAGCACTCAAGATATGTCTGTCAGCTCAACATTTTCAATTTTCCGCTAATTTTTTTCGGCTTGAGGTTCGATTTGAGCGTTTCAGGAGCTCCGGGCCTTTCTTTGGCCATAACGAATAATAATAGTGAAGATCTAATTTGACAAACACAATTAACTGGACAATTGAGTCCATTTTCATAAGTAGCTTGAAACTTGAGCCGAAAGGAAATCAGCTTTAAGCAAAAATGTTGAGCCGACGGACTTGATTGTTTTTATTTTGCAAAAATCAATTGATTAAATCAATCTGATTTATACCAGTTGAATTTATCAGTCCAAAAAATTGAACGTTCTGTTTGTTATTTTCTAAAAATAATTACATTTGTGACAATGGAATTGACTGATTTACCTTACGATTGTTTATCGTATATATTTGATTGTATTCCTGATCTTAAACTGCTTCTGGATATGTCAACAGGTAAGAAAATTTTGCTACTTATTTTATTTAGAAATGAGATTAAATTCATATTTCTATCATTGATCAGTTTGTAAACAATGGAACATTTTGGCGAATCAAAGATTGAAAAAAATTCGACATTTACATGGTAAGTTAATAATAATAAGGTAATTTCATTGTGATTTACAAAAAAATTAACTCTGCGTCTTTTCAATTCTCGTTGCCCAAAGTTGAGCAAGATATCGATTCTGACCTTGCAGCATCTCCCAATCATCTTTACACGAACGATGTTGGATTGATGGAGAGAGTAAATGTCTCGAAAATGTTTCCAAATCTCAAGGTGAGTTCATTCAAGTAGAAAGAAATCTTTTCTAATCAATTTCTCCATCTAACTTGCAGTTCTTCACCAAAAGTTACACACTCGAAACCACGTGTACCTGTAAAATGTTGGTCAATGTTTTATCAACTTCGAAACCGTTAATTGGGCTCATGTGTGAAGCTCCATGTCTTGCCGCGGGTCCAAAGGATATGACTCCTTGTTGCCACGTCGATATTGATGAGATTGTTAAACATTGTGGTAGCCTCGAGTATCTGGATTCATTGTATCGACCTTTTCTTCGTAGTTATTTCGTAAAATATAAATTTGGTCAGAATGTGAAATACTTTGAAAGTTACATAGAAGGTTACGACTATTATGAGGAAGATAAAGATTATGATGCCATGTTCAAAGAAATATATTTTCTATGTTACTACATACAACAAATGCCAAATCTTGAAGTTCTTCGTCTGAGAGATCCACCGAGTAATTATGATGACGTATTATGTGTTCTCTAAATTGACTTTTTCTTTACTTAGTTGAACCTCGTCTTTGGCCTTTACCGAAAAACATGAACCTGAAACGGATCGATTTTGAGGACATTACGACAAACACATTGGCCTTACAGTTCTTATCTCGTTTGCCCAATTTGCGAAGTGTTTCTTTGGACGTTCAATCAGTGGTAGATGAAGATGCTGTTTTCGAAGTTTCCGATACTTACCCCAATATCCAAGATTGCGCTCTACACGTTGCAATGGTGAGTTTTCTGTGGTATTTTATGAATTAACCTTAATTGTGAATTCTATTTATCATCTAGTATCAAAACTCGCCTGTCGGATCATCGAAGCTGATTAAAAGTATTATGGTCAAGTTCCCTAATTGTTCAAACCTGTGCATTCATGTGCAACAAGGAATGACGATAACTAATGAGGATTTGATCGAGATAATCAAAATGTTGCCCAATTTAACTCTATTTGTCTTGGATGTATGGAATTGGGGTGATGCAAATACTATTGATACAATCGATAAATTCTGTAAATCAATAGGTCGTCGAATATCCTTTTACTTGCTTCGCGATAATGCAAAATGGAATGACTTACTTAGAACTGATTTATATACACGATACGCATTGAACGAAGATGTTGAGAATCATGTGAAGACCGACAACAAATTCATTCGGAGCTTTTTTTGTTGCGAAAAAAAGTAAAAACTCTTCATCTTTCTGCTATTAACTTTTAGATTGTCAAGATAATTCGATTCTTTTTCTTGCCAAGTGTTTGTTTACTTGTTAATTGGGTAAGATGAGTGTTAATGGTTGGAGGTGATGCTAATATTTATTCAACACACTTATTCCTGTGTTTGTTTAAATTAGGTTAGGTCTTCATTAAAAGGGTCAAAATCTACAGAGGAAGGCCCGGAGGGCCTGGGACTATCAAACAAGCGCACAATTAACCCAAAATTCAGCTATATTTTGACATTTTGAGCTAATGGACACCAACAATAATTGTTTTGAATAACCATTGGCTCAACCTTCAACCATTAACGCTCATCGCACTGTTAATTGAATCAATAAAGGATTCGGAATCATTAATTTAAACAGTTGAAACTTTTTTAATCTTTGATAAAATTGAAAAATTGGCTCATGAAGATAATAGATGTTGATTGATTTGATATTGGAATGAATGGTAAAAGTGATTAATGAAAATATCTTTTTGTTTAAGAGAAGCAAAAAAATATCAGCAAATGATTTCAGCTGAAAAACTGAGCTTCAAAGTTTCTTTGTATTTTCTGGAATCCTTTTTGTTTAAATAAAGAATAAGGAAGATGAAGGTACCATTTGGTAAATCGATTGGTCTTAGAATAACATTCATCTTATCACTGTGTATGTTCAATATCATGGGTTCGATCATGATTAACTCAGTCGTCGAGCTTATTGAAATTAGTAATCAACTTGAACCTAACAACTGATCAAAAATCAACAAGGTTCATATTAGTAAATGGCCACACTAACGAGAGCAAAATGAACACAAACTTCACTTAGTAAGAGATGAAAACGATATTCACACAAATGTGACAGAGGTAAAATTTTTGAGGATTACGATGTTATTGTCGAGGAAATTTATTCATTAATTAAAGCGCAACAACAACAATACAACATTACGACAAAAACATTGGCCTTCCAGTTCTTATCTCGTTTTCCCAACTTGCGAAGTGTTTCTTTTAGCATTCGATCAGTGACAAACAAAGATGAAATTTTCGAAGTCTCCAACCCTTACCTGAATATCCAAGATTGCGCTCTACATATTGGAGGAATAGTAAGTTTTCTGTGGTATTTTATGAATTAACCTTAATTGCGAATTCTTATTTATCATCCAGTATCAAAACTTGCCTGTCGGATCGTTGAAGCTGATTAAAAGTATTATGGTCAAGTTCCCTAATTGTACAAACCTGTTCATCCATCTCCTAAAAAATATTGAAATAACTAATGAGGATTTGATCGAAATAATCAAAATTTTACCACATTTAACTCTATTAGTCTTTGATATAAAGAATTGGGGAGATGCAAATACTATTGAGACAATCGATAAATTCTGTCAATCGTCAGGTCGTCGAATATCCTTTTACTTGCTTCGCGATGATCGAATATGGAATCGCACGACCAGAACTGGATCATATACACGATATGCATTGAACAAAGATGTGGCGAATCATTTGAAGACCGACAACAAATTCATTCGAAGCTTTTTTCGTTGTGAATGAAAAGAATTGAATTTCTCTTCAATCTTTCGGTTGTTCAATATTTGGTTTTTCTTATTACATGAAACAACAAGTGAAAATCATCATTTATCATAATAATAATTAGTTTTATTCTCGATCTCTATTTCCCAATGTACATAATTATCTGGACAACTAAAATAAATCTCATTTGTTTAGGAAAATAATCTAAATCCATTCAAGTCAATAAACTTTTTTAATCTTTGATAAAAGTGAAAAATTGATTCATGAAGATAATAGATGTTGATTGGTATGATATTCGAATAAACAATAAAAGTGATTAATGAAAATATCGTTTTGTTCAAGAGAATCAAAAAAATAACAGCAAATAATTTTAGCTGAAAAACTGTTAGTTATTGAATTAAATGGCCTGAACTATCCGTCTAAAGTAATTTACATGTATGATGTAGGCTTTTTGAATTTTCTCAGCACTGAGATAGTCGATAAACCTTAGAATAACGAGAATAAGCAGAAATAATTAATTTTTTATTTCATTTGAAACTTTCATGATTTAAATTAAACTTATCACTAAAATATCATAGACAGAATGAAATGTTTGAATCTGTTTCTGAGCCTATTTAAAGTGTTTCACTTGAATTTTAAAAGAAAATTGTTAATCCTTTAAATCGCTAATCTGTTTCATTTGATCTTTAAGCCGTTTCAGTTTCTCTTTAAATTGTTCATATCGAACGACTGTATATTCGATTCTCCCTCGTTTTCACAATATTTTAAGTAAACATTGAAGTTAATCCTTTTGTCTTTGCTAGATTTAAATAGGATGAATGTAAAATTTTTGCGATTCATAGGTATTGTAGCTGAGTAGGTTGAGTGTCCGAGGCCCTCCGGGCCCTTGGTTATTTTATTAATTATGTTGGAAGTCCGAGGCCCTCCGGGCCGTTGATTGTTATAATTAATTAGGTTTACTTCTCACACCTAATCAAACCAAACCAAAAATTACCAAACTTCATTCAGAACAGCACCAACAGTTTCAACCAAATCTATCAATTGAATGAATTCTCTGAAAATTTTAGCCTGAAATAGTACTAATTTACAAAGACAAAAGGATTAAACTAGAGATTTACTATTTACTTAAAAGATTAACGAGAGGTCATTGTGAAAACGAGGAGACACCGTATATTCAACTGATTGAAATAAACTTGGAAAATATGAAATTCATTGAGAAAAACGAAAAAGAAAAACCTTTTAGAGATTATGTTAATTTTTAGCAATTGATTGGTAACTACATATAAATATGAATATATACTGTATAAATGTAGATAATTGCACATTCTTGTTAATCTTTTAATTGAATCGTAGCACTCAAGATATGTCTGTCAGCTCAACATTTTCAATTTTCCGCTAATTTTTTTCGGCTTGAGGTTCGATTTGAGCGTTTCAGGAGCTCCGGGCCTTTCTTTGGCCATAACGAATAATAATAGTGAAGACCTAATTTGACAAACACAATTAACTGGACAATTGAGTCCATTTTCATAAGAAGCTTGAAACTTGAGCCGAAAGGAAATCAGCTTTAAGCAAAAATGTTGAGCCGACGGACTTGATTGTTTTTATTTTGCAAAAATCAATTGATTAAATCAACTTGATTTATACCAGTTGAATTTATCAGTCCAAAAAATTAAACGTTCTGTTTGTTATTTTCTAAAAATAATTACATTTGTGACAATGGAATTGACTGATTTACCTTACGATTGTTTATCGTGTATATTTGACTGTGTTCCTGATCTTAAACTGCTTCTGGATATGTCAACAGGTAAAAAAATTTTGTGCTTTTTTTATTTTGCATTAATAGATTCATATTTTTATGATTGATCAGTTTGTAAACAATGGAACATTTTGGCGAAACAAAGATTGAAAAAAATTCGCCATTTACATGGTAGGTTAAGTATAATAAGGTAATTTCATTGTGATTTACGAAAAGATTATATTAACTTCACTATCTTTTCAATTCTCCTTATCCATGGCCAAAGTTGAGCAAGATATCGAATCTGATCTTGCAGCATCTCCCAATCATCTTTACACGAACGATGTTGGATTGATGGAGAGAGTAAATGTCTCGAAAATGTTTCCAAATCTAAAGGTGAGTTCGCTTAACAAGAAAAAAATCTTTCTCTAATCCATTTCTCTTCGAACTTCAAGTTCTTCACCAAAGATTATACTCTTGAAACCACGTGTACCTGTAAAATGTTGGTCAATGTTTTATCAACTTCGAAACCATTAATTGGGCTCATGTGTGAAGATCCATGTCTTGCCGCGGGTCCAAGGGATATGACTAGTTGCTGTCACGTCGATGTTGATGAGATTGTTAAACATTGTGGTAGCCTCGAGTATCTGGATTCATTGTATCGACCTTTTATTCGTAGTTATTTCTTAAAATACAAATTTGGTCAGAATTTGAAATACTTTGAAAGTTATATAGAAGGTTACGACAATTATGAGGAAGATAAAGATTATGATTTCATGTTCAAAGAAATCTATCTACTGTGTAACTACTTGAAACAAATGCCAAACCTTGAAGTTCTTCGTCTGAGAGATCCGCCAAGTAATTATGATGACGAATTATGTGTGCTCTAAATTCATTTGAGATACTAATGACTTTTTCTTCACTCAGTTGAACCTCGTCTTTGGCCTTTACCGAAAAACATGAACCTTAAACAAATCGATTTTGAAGACATTACGACAAACACATTGGCCTTTCAGTTCTTATCTCGGTTGCCCAATTTGCGAAGTGTTTCTTTGGACGTTCGATTGGTGGAAGATGAAGATGAAATTTTCGAAGTTTCCAATACTTACCCGAATATCCAAGATTGCGCTCTACACATTTCAATAGTAAGTTTTCTGTGGTATCTTATGAATTAACCTTAATTGCGAATTCTATTTATCATCTAGTATCAAAACCCACCTATTGGATCATTGAAGCTGATTAAAAGTATTATGGTCAAGTTCCCTAATTGTACAAACCTGTGCATTCATCTTCAAAAAGGAATGACGATAACTAATGAGGGTTTGATCGAAATAATCAAAATTTTACCACATTTAACTCTATTAGTCTTGGATGTATGGAATTGGGGTGATGCAAATACTATTGATACAATTGATAAATTCTGTAAATCAACAGGTCGTCGAATATCCTTTTACTTGCTTCGCGATAATGCACATGTAAATTCCACACGCAGAACTGGTTTATATACACGATACGCATTGAACGAAGATGTTGCGAATCATTTGAAGACCGACAACAAATTCATTAGGGACTTTTTTCGTTGTGAACAAAAGTATTGAATTTTTCTTCAACCATTTGATTGTTCAACATTCGATTTTTCTTATTAAATGTAACGAACAGTAGAAATTATCCTGAGTCTCAATAATAAACTAGTATCGTTTTCGATCTCGATTTTGCTTTTTAAACTTTTCAAAGCTCAATCCAGTTAACTCTTTATCTTTAGGCTGCTGTTGCTATTAACTTTTAGATTATCAAGATATTAATAATTCGATTCTTTTTCTTGTCAAGTGTATGTTTGCTTGTTATTAATAATTGGATAAGATGATTGTTAATGTTTGGAGGTGAAGCTAATATTTATTCAACCCAATTATTGTTGGTGTTCATTAGCTACAAAATGTCAAAATTAAGCCGAATTTTGGGTTAATTGTGCGCCCGTTTGGCTGTCCCAGGCCCTCCGCTGTCCTCTGAAAAACTGAGCTTCAAAGTTTCGTTGTATTTTCTGGAATCCTTTTTGTTTAAATAAAGAATAAGGAAGATGAAAGTACCATTTGGTAAATCGATTGGTCTTAGAATAACATTCATCTTATACCTGTGTATGTTCAATATCATGGGTTCGATCATGATTAACTCAGTTGTCGAGCTTATTGAAATTAGTTATCAACTTGAACCTAACAACTGATCAAAAATCAACAAGGTTCATATTAGTAAATGGCCACACTAACGAGAGCAAAATGAACACAAACTTCACTTAGTAAGAGATGAAAACGATATTCACACAAAGGTGACAGAGATAAAATTTTAGAGGATTACGATGTTATTGTCGAGGAAATTTATTCATTAATTAAAAAAGAAATAAATCTAATTCCATGTAAAAAAGTTTCTTCATAAAAAGTAACGGGATTTAGTTTAATTGTATTTGTCGCTTTCATGAATCACTTTTTTTTCATTCTCTATAAATGATCCAGATGTCGCTTTTTACAGAGAAATTAAATCAAATCAAATCAAATTTATTGTTTTTCTTGTTTACAATAAAAGAGTCAAGTTGTTATTTTTTTCCCAATTACTTGATAGAAAATTAGAATTTAACTGATTTAAAGAAATCATGGTGATTGTAAATGATGGAAATGACGATGGAGTTTTATCACCTGTAGAATGTGCAAAAAATGAATCATCTAATAAGTTGAATGATTGTTGCAACAACAACAATACAACTGCGACTCAATTACAAGAGGGACAACAACAAACCGGTGAATCGCTTTTGTCACCCGATGGAATCGTCAACTCAACCAGTCCATTGAAAATTGTGGTCGTCGGCGATGGTACAGTCGGTAAAACGTGTATGTGTATCGCTTACACCCAAGGAATTTTTCCAGACAGTGAATATGTTCCAACAGTGTAAATATTTGATTCTTTTTTCTCATCGTATTTTTATGTTGATCTAATCCATTCGTTATGATGGTTGTGACTAATTTCCAAGTTAAGCTCCATCCGATCAATGCTAATCCATTTTCTTCACTCATTTAATCATTAATCCATCTAATCTCTCTCTCTCCCTTTCTCGATCTCTTCCTCTCTCGCTCGCTTACACTCAAACCAATCAACAAAAAAGATTTGAAAATTACACCGGAATTCAGGATTACCATGGATCAAATTATCAATTGGCTCTTTGGGACACTGCAGGTCAAGAAGATTACGAAAGACTAAGACCTCTCTCTTATCCAGGGGTAATTATCATGAATCCATTTAATTTTATGTAATCGATTCTGCTACTACTTGATAATAATCAAAATTGTCAACTAGAGACAAAAAAATGTTCAAATCAGATTTACAGTTAATCTCATCTAATATACACTTTGATCATCCCCTCCTACAATAGATTGATACTTTAAATATAATTAATTGTTTGTTTCAAATAATCAGCTTCTTGTTTTCATTCAGTATCATGGATAATTCAATAACCCTTCTGTTGATAGTTGACACTTATCAATTATATTCCATATCAGCTACTTAAACAATCAACACCATGAAAACAATCACAATGGTCAGAAAATCATGACATTCAACCCGATTAACCTTAATTGCAAATGAAGGTTAATTATATTTCCATTTAATTTGAAAATTTAGTTGCTTGTTTGTATTATAACTTTTTACTCACCAATTGTGCTTGAAACATAACCTTAAATGGTTCAAACTGCAATTCCCTAGATGATAATCATGATGGAAAATTATTCATAGTCAAATGACCTCGCAATTAATTGATTATCATCACAAATGATTCAAATTACATAGGAAAGAAACCACATATTTGGGTGGTGATTGGGAATTGATTGTTGTCATTTTATTCATCTTCCTATTAAAAGTTTAATGAAATAACTTCTACTAATTAACAAGTTGCTTTAAATTCAGTATCTCAAAATGATTATTTGTCAATGACTAACTTGATCTCTCTCTCTCTCTTCCCATAGACCAATGTGTTTCTATTATGTTTCAGTGTTGCCAATTTAAATTCCTATCAAAATATTACAACTAAATGGTTTCCAGAAATCAGGGAACATGCACCGAAAGTCCCGTTCGTTTTGGTTGGAACCAAAAGTGATCTCAGACCTGATGATAAATCCTCATCTCCTTGGTATCGATCAAAGTGCATCGACTTGACATCTCAATCAAATGGATCTGAGGAAACTTTTATTACCACGGACATGGGTCGTAAATTAGCTCGTAAACTGAATGCTTCCTGTTACGTTGAATGTTCAGCTAAAAGTCTTGTTGGAATAGAAAATGTAATTTATTTTATTCTTTATTCATATGTACAATTTGATCTCAATTGTCATTTTTTTATCATTCAATCTCCAGGTAATTATGGAAGCTATCAAAGCTGGAATTGGTGACGAGGACAAGAAACAACGATGCATAATTATCTAAATTTACATGACGATTTATAATTACCGATCAATCGAAAGGATTCCAGAAAACACAACGAAACTTTGAAGCTCAGTTTTTCAGCTGAAATCATTTGCTGATATTTTTTTGCTTCTCTTGATGAACAAAAAGATATTTTCATTAATCACTTTTATCGTTTATTCCAATATCATATCAATCCACATCTATTATCTTCATGAATCAATTTTTCACTTTTATCAAAGATTAAAAATGTTTTTACTCTTAGACTTGAATGGATTTGATCATTTTCAAATTAATTGAATTAATTTGAATTATCTTTCACTTCTCTAAATGATTACTGAAAGCATTTATATCATGAATTAATGATTCGAGACATTTATTGAATCAAGTAACTAGTGAACAGACACTTGACAGTTAAAAAACTAAAGTGTCAAAATTTTCGCTTGTCGTTTCATGTAATGTAAACCGAATATTGAACAATCGATAAATTAATTTAATTACTTGGTGGTTCTTTCAGATGCAGAACTTCAAGATTTGGCATTTGTTTCAAGTAGTAACATAGCAAATACATTTCTTTGAACATGAAATCATAATTTTTATCTTTCTCATCGTCGTCATAACCTTCGATATAACCTGAGAAGTATTTCAAATTCAGTCCGTATAGTCTCCAAGAAAAGGTCGATACATGGAATCAAGATATTCGAGGCTACCACAGTTTTTAACAATCTCATCAATATCGACGTGACAGCAAAAGTCTATCGTCATAGGACCCGCGGCAAGACATGGAGTTTCACAAATGAGTCCAGTCAATGATGTCGAAGTTGATAAAACATTGACCAACATTTTACAGGTACACGTGGTTTCGAGTGTGTAACTTTTGGTGAAGAACTGCAAGTTAGATGGAGAAATTGATTAGAAAAGATTTTTTTCTTCTTGGTGAATGAACTCACCTTGAGATTTGGAAAAATTTTCGAGACATTTACTCTCTCCATCAATCCAATATCGTTCGTGTAAAGATGATTGGGGGATGCTGCAAGATCAGATTCGATATCTTGCTCAACTTTGGGCAACGATAATTGAAAAGACGCAGAGTTAATATAATTTATACTAAGATACTAGATCAAAGATACGATATTTGGAATGAAATTTAACGAATAATTAAAAAAAGCAAGAACTTGAATTTTCTTCTGAAATGTTGAAAATTCGAACTTAATATATATGAATTTCAATAAACGAAACACTTTTGTAAGAATTCATTATCGATCTTTAAAGGACTCGCAACATCTTCGTTCAATGCGTATCGTTTATATGAGCCAACCCTGATCCGATCCCTGATACGAAAGTAAAAGGACATTTGACGACCTGTTGATTTACAGAATTTATCGAGTGTCTCAATAGTATTTGCATCACTCCAATTCCATAAATCCAAGACAAATAGAGTTAAATTGGGCAAAGCTTTGATTATCTCAATAAGATCTTCATTAGTTATCGGCAATTCTCGCCTCAAAAAAATGTTCAGGTTTTTACAATTAGGAAACTTGACCAAAATACTTTTGGTCAGCTTGTAACATCCGATAATTGACCTTCTCTGTTGAATGATAAACACAATTAGAACAACGAGAAAAAATAAAGATAAAAAACTTACTCCGGATATGTTTAGAACTACATCTTGGACATTCATATGAGTATGGCAATCAGGAAAATCTTCATCTTCATCCTTAACTGAATGGATATTCAACTCGATACTTCGTAAATCAGGAAGTAAAGGTAAGAACTGGAAGACTGGCGAACCTGGGGATATATGTTCAAATTGAATCTCTTTCAGTTTCATTTTTGGTAAAGGCCAAAGACGAGGTTCAACTGATGCGAAAAGAAAACGATTAGAATAAGTGATCAATGACTTATTTGATATTAATATAACTACTTAGTGGTTTTCCCAGCTTCAGAACTTCAAGATTTGGCATTTGCTTCAAGTAGCGACAAAGTGAATTTATTTCTTCAAATCTGAAATCATAATCTTCATCCGCATCTTCCTCACTATTGATGTACCCTTCGATATAACCGTTAAAGTATTTCAAATTTTGTCCAAATTTGTATTTAAAGAAATAACTGTCAAGAAAAGGTGGAAACAAGGAATCCAGATACTCGAGGCTACCACAGTGTTTAACCATCTCATCGATATCGACGTGGCATTGAGAGTATTTTACCATTACACCTTGGGTACGACATGGAGCTTCACAGAAGAGTCCGACCAGCGGGTTCGAAGTTGACAAAACATTGACCAACATTTTACAGGTGCATGTTTCAGACAGATTCCGACTTAGGGTTAGAAACTGAAAAATTTCAAATTGCAAGTAAATTGATGAGCCATTTTGTCTCTTATCCTTAAGTAATAGTCTCACCTTGAGGTTCGGTAACAACTGAGAGACATTAACTCTCTCCATTAATCCAACATCATCCGTGTAGATGTGATTGTACAATGAGAAATAGGTACATACTAAAGGAAATTCACTCTCGACTTAATTAATTAATAGATTGATGCAAAAGAGTAACAGAATTAATTGAACCTTTCCAATGATCGAAATGAAATTGACTTACCATTTAAGTGGCGAATTTTTTTCAGTCGCTGTTTCACCAAAATGTTCCATTGTTTACAAACTGACCAATCAAGAAAAACGATGAAAACATGAATTTAATCTCATTTCTAAATAAAAAAAAGCACAAAAATTTTCTTACCTGTTGACAGATCAAAAGCGATTTAAGATCAGGAATACAATCAAATATACACGATAAACAATCGTAAGGTAAATCACCCAATTCCATTGTAACAAATTTTATTATTTCTAGAAAACAAATGAATACTAAATACTAAAAGATGGAACACATTTTCACAAACTGAATTAAATTGAACTCTTATTAATCAACGTGAGATTTAAAACTGAGTCGATTGGCTAACACCAGATGGCGAAAGTTTTCATTTTCCCGGCGACAATTTAATGATTAAATTTTAATCTGTTCATTTGTTTGATAAACTTATTGTTAAAATGTAATTTATTTTATTCTTTATTCATATGTACAATTTGATCTCAATTATCATTTTTTTTTATCATTCAATCTCCAGGTAATTATGGAAGCTATCAAAGCTGGAATTGGTGACGAGGACAAGAAACAACGATGCATAATTATCTAAATTTACATGACGATTTATAATTACCGATCAATCGAAAGGATTCCAGAAAATACAACGAAACTTTGAAGTTCAGTTTTTCAGCTGAAATCATTTGCTGATATTTTTTTGCTTCTCTTGAACAAAAAGATATTTTCATTAATCACTTTTATCGTTTATTCCAATATCATATCAATCAACATCTATTATCTTCATGAATCAATTTTTCACTTTTAGCAAAGATTAAAAAAGTTTTTTACTCTTTGACTTGAATGGATTTATTCATGGATTATTTTCCTAAACAAATAAGATAATCTTAATTGTCCAGACAATTATGTATATCGGGAACCATTTTCATCTTTTATATCTCTAAATGATTTTTGAAGAACTAACTTCATCTTTATGAGGAGAAAGGCTTTGGAAATTAACTTTGAATTAATAATTTGAGACATTTATTAGTTCGATTAACTAGTGAACAGACACTTTAAAGTTTAAAAACTAAAGTGCAGAATTTTCGCTTGTCGTTACATGTAATAAGAAAAACCGAATGTTGAACAATCAATTGATTGAAGAAAAATTCAATTCTTTTCATTAACAACGAAAAAAGCTCCGAATGAATTTGTTGTCGGTCTTCAAATGATTCGCAACATCTTCGTTCAATGTATATCGTGTATATGATCCAGTCCAGGTCGTGCGATTCCATATTCGATCATCGCTAAGCAAGTAAAAGGATATTCGACGACCTATTGATTGACAAAACTTATCGATTGTCTCAATAGTATTTGCATCTCCCCAATTCTTTATATCCAAGACTAATAGAGTTAAATGCGGCAACATTTTGATTATCTCGATCAAATCCTCATTAGTTATTGCAATATTTCTCAGGAGATAAATGCGCAGATTTGTACAATTAGGAAACTTGACCATAATACTTTTAATCAGCTTCAACGATCCGACAGGCAAGTCTTGATACTGGATGATAAATAAGAATTCGCAATTAAGGTTAATTCATAAGATAGCACAGAAAACTTACTATTCCTTCAATATTAAACGCACAATCCTGGATATTCGGGTAAGTATTAGAAACTTCGAAAATTTCATCTTCATCTCTCACTGGTCGAATACTAAAAGAAACACTTCGCAAGTTGGGAAAACGAGATAAGAACTGGAAGGCCAATGTTTTTGTCGATATATTTTCAAATTCAATCTGTTTCAGGTTCATGTTTTTCGGTAAAGGCCAAAGACGAGGTTCAACTAAGTAAAGAAAAAGCCATTAGTATACCGAATGATTTCAGATAGTAACAAATAAATTAATGTATTAAGTAGTAATAATTACTTGGTGGTTCTTTCAGACGAAGAACTTCAAGATTTGGCATTTGTTTCAAGTAGTAACACAGTAGATAGATTTCTTTGAACATGAAATCATAATCTTTATCTTCCTCATCGTCATCGTATCCTTCAATTGAACCTTCGAAGTATTTGATATTCTGACCAAATTTAAATTTCAAGAAATAACTGCCAAGAAAAGGTCGATACAATGAATCCAGGTACTCGAGGCTACCACAGTGTTTAACAATATCGTCGATATCGACGTGACAGCAAAAGCCTATCATCATAGAGTCCCCGGCAAGACATGGAGATTCACAAATGAGTCCAATTAACGGGGTCGAAGTTGACAAAACATTGACCAACATTTTACAGGTACAAATGTCTTCCAGCGTATAATCTTTCGTGAAAAACTGCGAGTTTGATGGAAAAATTGATTAGAAAAGATTTTTTCCTCTTGATAAATGGACTCACCTTGAGATTTGGAAACATTTGCGCGACATTTACTCTCTCCATCAATGCAACATCGTTCGTGTAAAGGTGATTGGGAGATGCTGCAAGGTCAGAATCGATATCGCGCTCAACTTTGGTCATGGATAAGGAGAATTAATAAAATGACGAGGTTAATATAATCTTTTTGTAATTCACAATGAAATTACCTTATTATTATTAACTTACCATGTAAATGTCGAATTTTTTTCAATCTTTGTTTCGCCAAAATGTTCCATTCTTTACAAACTGATCAATGATAAAAAATGAATTAATCTCATTTCTAAATAAGAAAGCACAAAAAATTTCTTACCTGTTGACATATCCAAAAGCGATTTAAGATCAGGAATACGATCAAATATACACGATAAACAATCGTAAGGTAAATCACCCAATTCCATTGTAAAAAATTAATTATTTCTAGAAAATATTGAACAGAAAGTGGAAATTTCTAAATTCACAAGTTGAAATATCTGAACTGATAAGGTCAATTGGTTTAAATCAACTGATGTTTTGTTTTCAAAAGCAAAGAAAACTAATTAAGCCCCGGAGCACATTCACCGCGAACTTGCTGATAGTTAATCCTTTTCGATAAACTTATCAATTTTTAGTTAAATAAAATGTCGTCTCCTTTTTACTAAAACCGAACCTTAATCCAAAAAAGTTTGAGTTAAAAAGAATCACAATTGAATTAAAAGTAAAAGTTTGAACTTCATCAATATGAAAATGCGTTTGTTTGAAATTATTGATCGCAAAAGAGCATCAAACATTTTGATTCGACGCATATATTGAGCACAAAAAATCAGTCCGAGAACTTGGAACATCTATGTCAATGATGAGATTCTATTATATACCTACAGGATTTATCGGACTCCAAAGGTGATAAAAGACCGAACTTTACCTGATCCGTTAGCCATTCACTGGCCAACAAGTCAATGAATTTATATTCACTTGTCGAAAATTAATCTTTTTCAACTGTAAGACCGAAAAGAGAATAAATTAAAATGCTCTCTTTTCTTCTCCTTTCTCTTTTAGTTCAATTTAACGATAAACAAGAATGTATTATAACAATTATCTTAATTTATAACCAACAATCTGAGAATTAGCAGCATCTTTATTTTGATTATTTCGATTAAATGTTCATTAGTTATCGACAACTATTCCATGAGATGAATGCTCAGGTTTGTACAATTAGGAAACTTGACCATAATACTTTTAATCAGCTTCAACGATCCGATAGACGAATTTTGATACTGGATGATAAATAGAATTCGGAATTGAGATAAATTCATAAGACATTCGTTTGAGTCCGACCAGTGGATTCGCCGCTGACAAAACATTGAGATTACCTGAGATTTAAGCCATTTAGAAAACAGCCGAATAGAAAATCGCCAAAGTGGTTTAAGCCAAAAAGATTTAGGCCAAAATTGATAAACTAATTAATAATTTACTGAGAAATTTTCACAGGTATTTCTTGATTCATTTATGATATTGGCTTCATTCAAATCGTTTCAGTCAATTTCAATTAAATCAGTAAAATGTCTAATTTCGAGTTTATCACTTCAAATAAAGGAAAAAATTTAATTAAGTGTAACAATTATTTATATCGACAAAGGTCGAAGACAGGAAATGTTTCTTATTGGTCTTGTGTTGAAACTAATTGTAAATCGAGAGGAAAACTTTCAGATTCTTCATTTTCTTTGTCAAGTGATCATAATCATCAACAGAATTTCATTGATCTGATTCAACGTAATCAAAGATCAAAAGTCAAAGAGATCATTTCAACTGATCCAACAATTTCTGGGCTAACAGTTTATAACCAAGCAACAAATCAACTAATAAATCGATCCGATATCGAAACTCAATCTGAACTAATTGGCGCTTCTCTTCAGCCGTTCATCTCTCTCCAGCCCACAATTTCATATAACAAATTAAAATTACTTCCACCTTTACCTGTTACTCGTTCAGGTATTGTGATACCTGAAAATTTCAAACAGTCGGCTGGTAAAGATTTTCTTCTAGCTGAAGATGGAGATGAAGATAAAATTCTTATTTTTGGAACTCGAGATTTTTTTAGAATATTATGTGCTTCGAAAAATGTTTACATGGATGGAACCTTCAAATGTGTACCATCGATTTTTTATCAACTTTACACTATCCATGTTATGGTAAAAGATCTGATGATTCCTGTAATTTATGCTCTTCTCCCTGATAAAATCGGTCAACTTACATAAGATTTTTTTCTTGAATGATTCAAGATCTAGCGATTGATGCATTTCTAAGCTTTTCTCCGGAAGTTTTATATTAGACTTCGAACTGGGAGTGATTTCAAGATAAAGAATTTGTTTTCTTCTTCAACAATCAAATGTTGTAATTTCCATTTTGGACAATGTATGGAGAAAAGTTCAAAATATTGGCCTGAAAAGATTACGGAGTCGACCAAATGTAACAAAACAATCAAAAGACTAATTTCTCTGCCATTGATTAAGCTTGTTGATATTGATGAAGTTTTTGAAAAAATAGTAATTGATGCTGGTGATGGAGATAAAATTGAAAAGTTATTAGAATATTTTTATGATAACTTTTACAAAACTGATGCAAGATTTGAACGTTCACTATGGAATACAGCTGATCTGATTGGACCTCGAACAACTAATCACCTCGAAGGTTGGCATCATGCAATCAACCTGGATATCAAAATCTCTCATCCTAATCTATGGATTTTTATAAAAAAAATAATGAACCAACAAAAAATATTCGAGACGAGGTTACTAATCCAAAATTCTGGTACAAATGTTGTAAGAAAAAGGAATAAATGGATTCAAATTAATATAAAACGTGATAAACTATTCGAAAGATACAACAATGGAGAATTATCAGCTCTTGAATATTTAGACAGAATAAAATACTTACAATTTGTCTGAACTTAAGAATCGAAATTGGCTCTTTTTATTTTGGCTCAAATAAGTTTGGCTGTTTTCTATTCGGCTCATATTCTTTTGGCTATTTTGAGTGCTCACCAACATTGACCATCATTTTACAGGTGCATGTTTCATACAGCTCCTGACTTAGGGTTAAAAACTGGAAAATTTCAAATTGGACATAAATTGATGAAACATTTTGTCTCTCATCACCAAGTAATGATCTCACCTTGAGGTTCGGTAAAAACTGAGAGACATTAACTCTCTCCATTAGTCCAACATCATCCGTGTAGATGTGATTGTACAATGAGAAATAGGTAAATTGGATTCATTCTCGACTTAATTAATTAGAAGAATGATTCAAAAGAGTAACAGAATTTAATATCCTTTCCAATGATCGAAATGTGCTTGACTTACCATGTAAATGTCGAATTTTTTTCAGTCGCCGTTTCACCAAAATGTTCCATTGTTTACAAACTGACCAATCAAGTAAAACGATGAAAACAACAATTTAATCTCATTTCTAAATAAAAAAAGCAAAAAAGTTCTCTTACCTGTTGACAGATTCAAAAGCTGTTTTCAGCTGAAATCATTCGGAGATATTTTTTGATTCTCGTGTACTGATGATTAAATAATATTCTTATTTATCAAAGATTAAAAAAGTTTTTATTGCTCAAATAAATGATTTGAAACATTTACATGTATTGATTCAAGTAACTAGTAAACAAAACACTTGACAATTAGAAACCGAATCGTATCGTCTTGACAATCTAAAGTTAATAGCAACAGCAGGAGAGAGCGAAAGAGATGACTGGATCGCGCTTTGAAAAGTATACAAAGCTAATATCAAGATCGAAAACGATACAAGATTATTATTGGGCCTCAAGATAATTTTCACTGTTCGTTACATTCAATGAGAAAAACCCAATGTTGACCAATCAATTGATTTAAGATAAATTCAATACATTTTTTTTCGCAACAAAAAAAGCTCCGAATGAATTTGTTGCCGGTCTTCAAATGATTCGCGACATCTTCGTTCAATGCGTATCGTGTACTAGTATATAAACCAGTTCTAAGTGTGCAATTTCCATGTGCATTATCGCGAAGCAAGTAAAAGGATATTCAACGACCTGTTGATTTAAAGTATTTATCAATTGTATCAATACATTTAGTATTTGCATCCCCCACGTTTTAAATATCCAAGATAAAAAAGAGTTAAATTCGGCAGAATTTTGATCAAATCTTCATTAGTTATCGAAAACCTTTCCATGAACTGAATGCAAACGTTTGTACAATTAAGGAACTTGATCATAATACTTTTAATTAGATTCAAGGGTCTGAAAGGTAAGCTTTGATGCTGGATGAGTAACAAAATTTGAATTTAAGGTTATACTGAGTAAAAAAGTTGAAGTGATTACAAATTCGAGCTTAATTAATACGAATTTCAATAAACGTACTTTTGTAAGAATTCATTATCGATCTTTAAAGGCCTCGCAACATCTTCGTTCAATGCAAAGTGAGTATATGAGCGAGTCCGTCTTGGATCACTTGTTCGGCAATCGCCATACAAGATAAAATTTATTCTTCGACCGACTGATTTACAGAACTTATCGAGTGTCTCAATAGTATTTGCATCTCCACAATTCTTCCTATTCAAGACAATAAGAGTTAAATTCGGCAAGATTTTGATTATCTCGATAAGATCTTCTTTAGTTATCGTCCGTAGGAAATCGCTGTACAGGTTTGTACAATTAGGGAACTTGACCAAAATACTTTTAATTGGATTCAGTAATCCGACGGGTGAGTCTTGCTGAATGATAAATGTAATTAAAATTAGAATAACAAAAATAAACAAAGATGAAAAACTTACTTCGTATATGTCCAAAACTACATCTTGAACATTCAGATGCGTATACGAATCAGAAAAACCTTTATCCTTGACTTCAAGAATATCCAAACGGATAGTTCGTAAATCAGGAAACAAAGGCAAGAACTGGAAGACTGACGAACTCGATCTTATGTCTTCGAATCGAATCTCTTTCAGTTTCATTTTTGGTAAAGGCCAAAGACGAGGTTCAACTGATGGCGAAAAAAACGATTAGTATAAATGATCAATAACTCTTTTGATATTAAATATTTACTTAGTGGTTTTCCCAGATTCAGAACTTCAAGATTTGGCATTTGCTTTAGGTAGCGACATAATAAATTTATTTCTTCAAATCTGGAATCATAATCCACATCTTCATCTTCATCTTCATCTTCCTCATCATCGATGTACCATATGAAATAACAGTCAAAGTGTTTCAAATTTTGTCCGAATTTATATTTAAAGAAATAACTTTCAAGAAAATCTTCATCCAATATATTCATATACTCGAGACTGCCACAGTGTTTAACAATCTCATCGACATGGACTTGACCAGAGTGTTGGACTATATTGCTTGAACAACATTGAGTGTCACACTTAAATCCAACCAGCGGGTTCGCTGTTGTTGACAAAATATTGACCATCATTTTACCAGTACATTTGTCACCATGAACAGGACTCAGGGATAAAAACTGGAAAAGTTTAAATTGGAAATAAATTGATGAGTAATTTTGTCTCTTATCCTCAAGAAATGATCTCACCTTGAGGTTCGGTAAAAACTGAGAGACATTAACTCTCTCCATTAATCCAACATCATCCGTGTAGATGTGATTGTCAGATGAAAAACGGACACGGGATAAATAGGATTCATTAGCAACTTAATTAGAAGAATGATGCAAAAGAAAAACAGAATTAATCTAACCTTTCCAATGATCGAAATGAAAATGACTCACCATGTAAATGTCGAATTTTTTTCAATCTCTGTTTCACCAAAATGTTCCATTGCTTACAAACTGACCAATCAAGTAAAACGATGAAGATGAAAACAAGATTTTAATCCCATTTCTAAATAGAAAAAAGCAGCAAAATTGTCTTACCTGTTGACAGATTCAAAAGCAGTTTTAAATTCGAAAAACAATCAAATATATACGATAAACAATCGTAAGGTAAATCACCCAATTCCATTGTTACAAATTTAATTATTTCTAGAAAATAAATGAAAATTCTAAAGAAAGAATAAATTTTCATAAACTGGAATAAATTGACTCTCATTAATCAATTGTTGATTTAAAAAGAAAAAATCCAGATCACTAGATGGCGAAAGTTTCTCATTTCCCGGTGACAATTTAATTTTTTTGTTGTGTAAAATTGGTTAATTTGAATGATAACTTTTAAAAAACTTCTAAATTTATTTGAATTTAGTATGAATATAAGTGATTCAGGAATACCTGGAAATAGAAAGGTTGATAAAATAATTGCTGATGAAAATACGAAAAGGGAAAATGAGCCTTACCAAAGGCTTGAAAAAAAGATATTGATGGCTAATGAAGTCGTAATAGACCACGTGGAAAGAAAAAATTAATGATTTATTTTTAATTAGATGAATGAAAAGATCAAATTGTTAATAAGTTTATAATAATAAGAATTATTATAAGCGGTAGTGTGAACCGCAAACGGTTAATTTGAATTAACCGGGTTCAATATGAGACACTGTTGAACAGAATCTGTTGAATAAAGTTACTGTTTTTACATTTTAATCACCACCAATTAAGTTTCTGTTCAATTGTAATTGATTTAACTTTTTTTCATTTCTTTGGTTAATCTCATCCAGTTAAACAAAAGTCTGCGGAACATGGATAAAGAAACTGCGGTCAGATTATCTTTTTGTAAATCTCAATGAAATTACTTTATTATTATCAACTTACCATGTAAATGTCGAATTTCGTTCGTCTTCGTTTCACCAAAATGTTCCATTGTTTACAAACTGATCAATTTAAAATATGGATTTTAGCTCATTTTATGAAGCATTCGTATGAAGTTCATATTACGGAGCAATCGAAAAGATTCCATCAAATAACGAAACATTTAAGTTCAGTTTTTTAGCTAAAATAATTAGTTCATATTATTTTGATTCTCTTGAACAAAAGGATATTTTCATTAATAACTTTTATCAAAAACTAAAAAAAAATTTTGCTCATTGAACTAATGATTTGAGCCATTTACTGATACAATTACATAATCATTTGAAAACTTAGGAACTAAAAAATCAAATTGTGTTGACAAACTAAAAGTGTGAAATGCTAATCTCAAGATCGAGAACAATATTACTTTTTATTATCCAAATTTTCACTTTTCGTTTTATGTAATAAGAAACTCAGATCGGTCGGTTGAACAGAAATTCAACTTTTTTTCATTCATAACGCAAAAACTCCGAGCGAATGAATTTGCTGTCGGCCTCGAGATGATTCGTACCATCTTCGTTTAAAGTATATGTTCCAGTTCTAAGTGTGCGATTCCATTTTCGATCATCGCGAAACAAGTAAAAGGATATTCGACGACCTGTTGATTTACAGTATCTATCAATTGTATCAATAGTATTCGCATCTCCACAATTCTTTATATCCAAGACAAAAAGAGTTAAATATTAATAATATTATTGGGTAAAACTTTGATTATCTCGATCAAATCTTCATTAGTTATCGACAGCCTTTCCATGAGACGAATGAAAAGGTTTTTACAATTAAGGAACTTGACCATAATACTTTTAATCAGCTTCAATGATCCAATAAGTGAGTTTTGATACTGGATAATAAATAGAATTCAGATTTTAATTCGAGGTAATTCGGAAAGTAAATTTGTACCTTATGTGTTAAGATACAACAGAAAACTTACTAGTCCAATATGCAGAGCGCAGTCTTGAATATGTGGATTAGCATTGGAAACTTCGAAATTTTCATCTACCAGTGATATAACGTCCAAAGAAACACTTCGCAAGCTGGGAAAACGAGATAAGAACTGGAAGGCCAATTTTTTTGTCCATGTGTTGTCAAAATTGATCTGCTTTAACTCAATGTTTTTTGGTAGAAGCCAAAGACGAGGTTCAACGACGTAAAGCGAAGAACAAGAGTTTCAAGATTACGAATGATCATCTCAGCACGCACTGTACAATAACTTGTTCTAAAATTATGAATTTTTTTCGATAAAAGCATTACAAAACGAATCTTATTGATGAGTAAGACGTTCTCACCCTTTTTTAAATAATGAAATTCGAAATTGAAGAAATCAGTTGCAATCAATTTGTGATTCTTAAAGATTGTTTAGAACATTCAAATTAATTTCTTTTAGATTTGTCGTCGTATTTTTGTAAAATTTGATCTGATTATAGTTTAATATTGATAGAATGGATCTGGAAAAATCATTAACAAAAAAATTAACTCTAAAATACCGATTAAAAGTGGCAAAAGCGTAAAATTCGTTAGAATTTGAATTAGCGACCAAAAACGGAAACGGAAAAGGTGGCAGCTATAATATCGATTTTTACCCATTTCGAAAAGTACTCTATCGATTACGGTGGTCGGTGACTCGATATCGAATGAACAGTTCGTGACTTTCCCTTGTAAGTAAGAAAAAAGTCATTAGTATACCGAATGATTTCAGATAGTAACAAATAAATTAATGTAATTACTTGGTAGTTCTATCAGATGCAGAACTTCAAGATTTGGCATTTGTTTCAAGTAGTAACACAGTTGATAGATTTCTTTGGACATGAAATCATAATCTTTATCTTCCTCATCTTCGTTGTATCCTTCAATTGAACCTTCAAAGTATTTCAAATTCTGACCAAATTTGTATTTTAAGAAATAACTACGAAGAAAAGGTTGATAAAATGAAACCAGATACTCGAGGCTACCACAGTGCTTAACAATATCGTCGATATCGACATGACAGCAAAATGTCAAGAGAATTTGAAACGAGACATGGATCTTCACAAATGAGCCCAATTAATGGTTTCGAAGTTAGCCTTTAGCCTCCACTGGCTTGTTAATATTTCAGACTAAATTGTCGTCTTCACTGACGAACAATTTATACACACGAATATAGTTACAGAGGTGATGATTTAACCATCGGTCTTCACTGACCAATAGTGAATATAAAAACTCAAACAATTTATTAATTAAACTTTTAATCTATTTTAATCAAAAAATACAGGTAACTTAATTGTATTAATATTATAAACTGACTTTGGTTGACCTTTACTGGACTACAAAAGTCGTTAGTTGATCTTTACTGATCAAATTGTAATTAATTAATGATATTTAATTCAGTATTTATGAATTACTATTGCTTTTTATCTTCAGGTAAATCTCAATTGAGTGGTTTGTTTTTCACTTCTTCTTTTATCATAATCATCATCTTTACGTCAATGGTTGAGAGTCAATCACTAATTATATAATATTGCAACATTTCCGTCGTCTTAAATTTGAGCAGTCTCTGCCAAAGCAAAGGGTGAAGTCCATGTTTCGAGAAGTTTATTGGAGGTTATCGTTAGGTAATTTCATCGACACTCCTTTGTATCAACCAGTTGAAAAAATTATCTTCAAGTTCATGACTGTTTGAGTTGATTTTATCATTTGTGTGGTGATAGGGTTGATAATATTCGAGTGTAGGATAACAATTTAAGGAAGGTAAAGAGTAATAATGTGAAGATAAACATTTAATTGAGTTTGATTTCACGTAAAGATTAGGATAATTAGCGTGATCAGTTTTGTCTATCGATTTTGGTACCTCTTCAGCACTTGGTATTTCATTTTGAGAATCAACTAATTCTAAATCAGGACAATAGTTTTCTTGTTGTTCATTCTCTTCGTTAAATTTGCATTGATTTGATCAAAGGGTAAGCTTTAAGGAGTACTCCGGGGTGTGTCTTAATCAATTAAAAAACCACAACTCTTTAATTACGATTAATCGATGTGTTCAATTAACCATAATCAACATGCTTTTCTATTGTAATCAACAATGTCTTTTGCTGGTTTAAATCTTGATTTCCTTAATTTTTTCAATTTCGTGATTAATTTAACTAACGTAGAAGAAGATATTCCCGGTCTAGGCTTTGCGACTGAATTCGGCTTATTACCAAATGATCAACCTAAACCATGTCCAGCTCTAAACTGTCCAGGATTTGTTCATCCTCGTATCAAGAGAGAGATGAAATTTAAAGTGTTTTTTGAATGTAATACTTGTTTCAAAGGTTACAGTAAATCTAAAAATACTTGGTTCGAGAACGAAAAAATTACTTTATTACAAAACCTTCAGTTGGTGTTTTGCTGGTGCTCATCGAAATCGGTAACTGAAGCTTCTGAACTAATTGGTGTTTCTATTTCAACAGCTATTCAACATTACAAAAAAATTAGAAAATTATGCTTATCAGTACTTAAAGCTAATTCAATTAAGCTGGGAGGAGAAGGTGTTGAGGTGGAGATTGATGAGTCTCACATTTTCACAGCAAAAAATCACACCGGTCGGCCCTTAGCTGGTCAAGCAATTTGGATAGTTGGAGGTGTAGAAAGAAATTCAGAAAAGGCTTTCATGGTGATGTCAAAAAAGAGAGACAAAAAACAATAAATACTATTGTCAAGAATTGGGTATTACCTGGTTCTACTGTTTATACTGACAAGTGGAGAGGTTATAATGACCTAAAAAACTTGAGATATCAACACTACACCGTCAACCACTCAAAAAACTTCCTCGATCCGATTGATCCAACAATTAACACACAAAAGGTTGAGAGATTCTGGCGATCAGTTAAAGACGCAGTACCCACAGGAATCAATGGTGTTGATAAAGATGATCATTATTTTTCTTACTTATTTCAAAGATGTTTTTTAAAACAATTAAGTCCTGGTAAAAAATTTGTCGCAATGTTGAATTATATAAAAGACAATTACCCAGGAGTTAATTAAGTTGGTGAAATTAAACACATCGATTAATCGTAATTAAAGAGTTGTGGTTGTTTAAATGATTAAGACACACCCCGGAGCACTCCTTAAACCTTACCGATCAAAGTTTTCAATAAATTCAGTCTTTTTTATCTCATTCGAATGTTTAGCACTTGGTAAACTCGTGAGATTAATTGGATTTGAATATGGATTGTTTTAGATGCGCAATCAATTATAAGATTGACCTTAGTCATTAGATCGTGACCGATTGAGGCATCGAATTGATGTGGCAAATATTCAGTAACTTGGACAATTGTTGATATTGCAATTGCTGATTCGTCGTCACAAATTTTAATTCTAACTTTGACTTGTCCAAGTATTTTAACTGGGCTATTATTAACAGCTAATGGGAAGGGTTCAAAATACGGTTGCAAATTTAAACTCAGTCGATCAACTAGATTTTTACTGATTAGAGTTAAACTGGAACCTGTATCGAACATTGCTTGGACTTTGTTATTATTTAATTTGTTTATTTTGTATTTGTAAGTTGTTTGTAATTTCTTTGTGAATTAGATTTGTATTTGGAATTTGAAAAATTGAAGAGACTGCATCGTTTAATTTCTCATTGATTTTGTTAATTTTAAATTGTAATTGATTTGAATTCAAAGTATTTTCGTTTTTGTTTTCTTTTTTACCCTTGAATTGACGGTTTTATCTACTAATTTAGCAGCATTAATAAGTTCGGTTAATGTTTGAAGATTTTGTAAAGTTATTATGAATTTAGCTTGAGGTAAAAGTCTTTCAATGATGAAGATTATCACGAGCTTTTCTGGCATCTTTTTATTCATTCTCATACATAATTCTTGAATTTGATAGACAAATTTAGTCGTTAGCTGATTTGGCTCTTGTTTACTATAATGAAATTGATGAGAGCGATGAGCTTGATAATCAACTGGGCAAAGGTCTGAGATCATTCTATTTCTTAATTCATCATAAATTTTAGTCTTTTTTCGGAAAGAATGAGGACTACAGGTAACGTTGTACCATTTGCGAGCTGAACCGTGCAAATAAAAGGGAATAATCTTGAACATCTCAAAA